TTTTGCTTATCCATCCTTCCATTTGATCCTGAATGGCTCCTCCTCATCACTACTGGATTGGTTCTTTAACTGGGTACAAACCTCTCCCTAAGATGAAGACATAAATCTCTTCCTAACCATATTCTGGAAGATATGGATTGAAAGAAACGACAAAGGTTGGCGATCTCAAAGCGTGGATCCAGTCATATCCTGGAGAATAATACAAGATGATCTCAATCAGCACAAGCTCTTGTTGCGCCTCCAACAACAACAACCTTCAAGTCAACGTCCTGCAAACATCCGCTCATCCTCCACTTCGGGTGTCCCCAATGCAGTTATTGTCCTTGACGGCTCCTTTCATCCTGTAACTCACAACTCAAGAGGAGCTTGGAAAATTTAGTCACTAACAGGATTACTAATGCAAATTGAAGAAACATGGATCTGCACAGAGCCTTAGGACGGGTGGCGATGATGATCTAGGCGGCGGCGGCGGATGGCCTAAAACCTGCAAGACAGAGCCTCGGGTGTCTCCCGAGGGTAGACTCTCTGATACTTAAGTCAGTAAGAGAATAAAGAGAGTAGAGAAAGAAGTATGTGTATTGTGTGTAGAAAGTGTAGAAGATAGGTAGAAGATATGTATTATGGGAGAGGTACCACCTCTTTATATAGAGGTGGTGTTACCTGTTTAAACCCTAGAGGAATAGGTTTAGGTGGTGGCTTAATCTCTAAGTAACCTAATCCTAGGCCTAATAGGCCTAGGGTTTATTTTGGACTCGTCAAGTACCCCTAGCAAGCCATATTCTCGAGACTTGATGAGAAGGATATGGATTGCTACGAGTGTTGATGTCTTCTCCTGGTGTTGCCCCAGTTCTCGGGTATCACCTATAGAAAGATAAAGAGAATAAAATGCCTCGAGGAGGTCTTTGTGTTAGTGAGTTCCAGATTGGCAGGGGGAAGCTTGTGTATGCCGAATTAGGAGGATGGCGCCTAGATTCTCTTATTTGAAAGTGAGAAGCCTATAGTGCCTGTCGTGCAGGTCTTGTGGCTGTGCCCATCTAGTAGGTCTTATTTGGCCGTTGCTCGACTAGCAGGTCTTTGTGGGTCGTGCACGACTAGCGGGTCTTATTTAAACCTGGTGCCCGACTAGCAGGTCTTTTTGGGTCGTGCCCGACTAGCAGTTCTTATTTGAACCCGGTGCCCGCCTAGCAAGTCTTTCGGTTCCTTTCTGATGTGTGATGGTCCCCAATGCCTGATTTGAAGGATGGTCCCTGTATATTTGGATGCTCGATATGCAATAATGTGATGTATGTATCAAAAAGATATTGTCATGATATAAACAATATGCTTATAACATGAATAACAGTTTATAGGCTTAGATTCGAGAAGCATAGTTAGAAAAGATTTGAGAAGTACCTCGGTTTCCAGTTAAATTGATTACTCGAGAAGGTGTTACCTCGATTCTGAAAATGTATTATTTGGGTAGATGAAAGTCGAGATACGTCTTCTCGAACACTTTGAGTAGTAGTAAGATGCTCGAGGGATGCTTGCCCCTTAGAGGAGATGTATCTCTCGAAATTTAAATCTTCGAGATTGCCCCTTGCTAATTGTTCTTCTCGATCAGCTGTGGAGCAAGTGTAGCTCCTCGATTATTTGTGCAATCGAAAGCTTCTTTGTGCTACTTGTCGGCTGACGTATTCTTGGCCAAATAAAAATAATTTTTTTGCGTGATTTTCTTGTTGCAAAATCGGAGCAACGAATTAACACCGTGGCTGCGAAAGATACAAAAGATTTCGTGCTTCGCTAAGAAATTTATTTGGTTGTGAAGACCAAACAAATCGGTCCCACTGGACGTGCCACTTGACGGAGCATGGATCTGCATGGAGCCTTAGGACGGGTGGCGATGATGATCTAGGCGGCGACGGACGACCTAAAACCTGCAAGACAGAGCCTCAGGTGTCTCCCGAGAGTAGACTCTCGATACTTAAGTCAGTAAGAGAATAAAGAGAGTAGAGAAAGAAGGATGTGTATCGTGTGAAGAAGGTGTAGAAGATAGATAGAAGATATGTATTATGGGAGAGGCACCATCTCTTTATATAGAAGTGGTGTTACTTGTTTCCTGAAACCCTAGCGGAATATGTTTAGGCGGTGGTTTAATCTCCAAATAACCTAATCCTAGGCCCAATAGGCTAGGGTTTATTTTGGACTCGTCACAAATTAAGGTTGTGGCTTTTTCCTCATTATCCGCTTTTCAAAGTGAAGCCACCACTTGTTTACTGCCCAACATGCTTGGTCTTTTGGCATCAGAGATGTCATTGTTTAGATAGATTGTGCAGAATTAACTTCCACTCAATGAATTTCTTTATTTCTGGTGGAAACTCAAGAAGTCATAGCTAATATTACAGAATTAATGTCTAAATTTCATTCATATTCTTAGTTAAAGTTTGAAGATCAGATGTAAGTGATATGCATAATCTGGCCTACATGGGAATGCAATGTACTAACATCAACCCTTACGTTTAATATACAGGTACTTTTTCAAAAAAAAAAAAACACACGAGGCTGGAGGCAAGACAACATTATCAATTATTCCCTCTGTCCCAAAATTATTGTCCACTTTGAGATTTCACTTTTAGTACAATTTGAACTAGAAATTAAAACTCAAACTCGATAATAATTATAGGACCGAAGGAATATATTTTATTCAGAAATCCTCTTGGTGATTGTTTTGACATTAACATCACTCGCGATTTTAGCACACAGATTAACTTTGTCATTACTAGCTAGATTGTAAATATCTTCCTCAAATTCGTACGTACTGCTTCCACCGGTCTATTTTAAGAATCCATACCGTATATATGCAGCAACTCCTAACAGTGAAGAAGATATATGTATATGTAGTGTGTGCTCTCACAGTTTGAGATTTAATTATACGTGTATGGTTTCTCTTTGTTGGTGTTCGTTTGTGGTTTATGCCACATCACAGTCTAAGTCACTGCCAACACATATATTTTCTTGAAAACTGCCACACAGTATATACTTTTAGTGTTACCCTTGATTTCATTTTATTCACAAGAGTTTACTTATTATTTTGTAAGATAATTAAAATTATTTAATTATAGAAATAACGTGCCAAGTTAACTACAAAGTACCAAAATATCGTCACATCAAAAGAGTCACAAAAACACCGAGTCGCCTTCATATACTCATTGATGCATATTTGAGTACTGGAAATTGATAGTCTTTCCTTGTCCAAAAGGGAAACGATCGAATAATTAATTATGTGTTCTTGCTGTGTGGCCTTTCTCTCCCATATCCTTAGTCGGTTGAAATATGTATGTATTTTGGCATTTTTTCATCTGTCGTTGTTCCTTGGATTTTATTCTTTACCTATGCTATGCAACAATTGAATATCTTTGTTTTTCTTTTCCAAAAAAAAAAAAAAAAAGATTACGTACATCTCAAATTACCTTTTACATAATTGGTACGTGGTAAAAATTATGTAAGATTTTTACCTTTAATCTAGCCATGTTGCTCAATGATTAACCTAGATATCATAATTTGGCTAGTCTCTTTTTTTTTTTCCCCGATCGGAATGTTATTATTCCTTAATTAGTTAAAAATTTTACAAAACCACTCCTATACCCCTTCCCCCAAGTAGTTCTTTCATTTATCACTAGGTGCTTGCCCGGGCTTTACAACATTATATTTTTAAATTAAATATACAAATGGTAAAAGTATTTTTCAACTTTAACTCAACTTATTATATTTTAAATTTTAAAAATAATAAAAGATTCATTTATTTATATCATTAATGTCTTACTCTATTAAATATTAATTGATTGATTATAATTATTTATTTATATCATTAATATCTTATTCTATTAAATATTAATTGATTGATTATAATTAAGGACAAGAAAAGTTAACACAATTAAAGATTGTAGAAATTAATTTTTTTATAAAATTACGTAGTTTTTGTTGGGCGGGAAACGGATGTATGAGAACGCGACATGTCAACCTTTTTTTTCCCTCTTGGACTATTATTTTAATAGGATATATAGATATAGATAGATTAGTTATGGATTATAAAACTTGTGGACGAATAATCAATTCGGATAACTTGGTTCATTTGAAACCCAATACTGTAACTTACATGGCTACTTACATGAAGCGGATTATGACAGAGTACGTATTGTTGCCACAAATTTGAAACACCGTGATTGTTTCGCATCAAAATAAAATGATAACTTATCAGAATATATCCTTTTAGGATTCTTGATTTCCTTAACATATATGTCCAGATTCAATTATTTATACTTGACCAACTTGGCGTCTAAGTTAACCGGAACAACACAATATGTTCAACGATAGACTAGATTTTGAATTAGGTATCTATTGGTACAATGTAAAAATGGTACTTATTAACCCAAAAAAAAAATGTTATTTAAGTCACGCTAATGAAAATTATTATTTAATCAACAATCCTAAACGACACTGCAGTCCCCTGTGTTGTTAATAGAAAGAGGAAAAATAACCGTCCGCAATCATCTTACTTGTGATTTTTTTAACTTAAAAAAAAAAATCAAATGATGTGTTAAAAATGTAAAATGTGTATACTTTGGAAATTGAGAAAATAAATAAAGAGAAATTTCCCAATAAATAAATGGTTACTGTGTAAATAGTTACATGCATATAGAATATATAGAGTGATGTAAATAGTAAACCGACAAATATGTACGAACCATGACGTAAATAGTTATAGAGTAATGTATATAGAGCCTAGAGGTAAATATGAATAAACCTGACAATTATAAATGAGGTAATGATATTGTACTCCTTCCCATCATTATGATTTGTCTTATATTTTATATAGTTTGCATTTTTTTAAAATACGTATTATGTGAAATCTAGAAAAAGTCAAAATGATTTATAATAAGGACGGGAGTGTGTACATGAGATTTTCAATAAATCACTGAGTTAATAATACTACAATGGAACTCACTAGCTAGCTAGTTGGTAAGTGTTTCTCGGTTCAGAGATACAGTCATAAACTAGAGAATGGCACCAAAATCGAAGAAGATTCATGGCCTCATTAAGAAAATGATTAAAAAAAAGAAGAACAGAAAGGGTGATCAAAACGAAGAGAAAAGAATTAAATAAAATATATAATGATGACCCTTTCCAAATTCATCGTCATCATCATCATCAGTCATCACCATAAGCATAATGGGCTGCCCCCATTTCTTTGTTTCCTCTTTTTTCCCTTCTTTTAAGTGCTAACGCTTTTCTAACTACTTTAAAATGTCAGCAATCTGATTATAGTTTACACTTTATAGTGTGCAACACAACAGGGGTTTATGTAAAAGAAATAACAAAAATCCAACCCAACGAAGAAAAGGAAAAGGTGAGTCTTGCTCCTTTCTGTGTTGTTTTGTTTTGTTCTTCATTTCATAACTTGTTCCTTCGTATTTCTCTTCCTTCACAGAAACTTCATAGTACTTTAATACTTTCCCAACACTACTACTTCATACTTAATTCTGACTCTCTCTTCTCTTTTATCTCTCTAGATTTAAAAGGGTGTGTTGATAAACATTTATAACCCTTGTCCTGATTTTATATATTGTTTCTGGGTTTACCATCAAATAAATTGCATCTTCAGCTTCAACCACAATTCACATGAATCTTCCATTCTCAAAGCTGGCAAACTTACCTCTTCTGCTCTAGCTCTAAAAATCCCATCTTTCTGTTTTCCCTCCCCTCTTGATTTCCAAGAATTTAATTTTTTATGTATTCCTTCTGGGTTTACTATTAACATTCTGCAGCATCAACCGCAATTCACAAGAATCTTGATTCTCCTCTCCGAGCTGGCAGTTCAACTATAAAAATACCATCTTTTCTTTTGCTGGGTATGTTATCTCTCAATACCCAAGAGTTCTTTTCCCCTCTAGTATACTAGAGTATACAGTACGAGCTTTGTGCGTCATCAAAGGTCCTGTAATTGATTAGTGATTACAGAGCGAATTGAATTTCGAATCTCTTCCACTACCCCCAATTCTGTGTTTTTTATTTTTTAACAGCCCAGTTGAGAATTCCTGTTGGGGGAGAGAGATTGAATCTTCTGGTGCGGGTGTCAATGAATATTATGCTTTATTTTCTCTCCCTGTCTCGTGTATTTTTACCGATTGCTTCTGGATTATGCATATGTATGTATTTCGGGCTTTGCTTTTGATTCCTTTTAGGAATGAGTGTTTCTTTCTGACCCTTTACTTAAAAGCCTGAAACCAACTAAAAAGGTTTCCTTTTCAGTTACCAATAACAAATAGAAAGGTGGAAAAAAAAAAGCAGCTTTTTTGGGAAGGATGGTTAGGACTTCAATTGCAAAATTGAAACTTCGCCATTGGCTTTGATATCTCTCCTGTCAATCTTTGACTGTCTATGTTAATTGCTTATTCTAGTCCATTTACTGGAATAGAGATTGAGAAATTTGGAATTGAGAAGGGAAAGTGTAGGGCTTTCTTTTCCTTTTCCATGTTTTTGGGGGATGGTTGGTGCATTCCTTTCCTGTGATGATATTGGTGTTTCTCTCTTTGTTTTCTGTCACATTTGATGGTATGATTTTTCCTTGAGAAGTTACCGGAGATTTTGACTATTTGGGTTCATTGTTTTGATCAGGAGAGACAAGTGAGCCATTTTATCCATCTTTCAGAAAGCCATTAACTTTTTTACATGAACTCTGGAGTTGACTGATTGGCTTCGCTTGCAAGTTGCGGGGTAGTCTCGTGAGTACCCAACTGTTTAGCTGGTAGTTCATTTAATGAATTCTATACCTTTATGACGTTTGATTGCTGCAAAAAAATTCAAAATCTTGTGATAGTTACGGCACTCTTTTGAACTAATAACCATTGCAGGTACCACAATTTCTCAAGCCTGTCTACAGTTTTAGACAGACATATAAATCTATTTCTGTTTTTCTTTCCCCCTTGATTTTTTTTGGGCTCTAGGAACTAAATACATGTTAATTTCTTGCACTGCTAGATCTAAGTAAATAATGGGATGCTTGGTATCGACGCCAAAGGACACAGGTGGGAATCGGAGGCGGCCTGGAAATATAGGCGAAGTTTCGGTATTTGTTCCAGGATTACGGATTCCGCAGCCTGTGGATTTCTCCCAAGCTCTTGGCAGTCACTTATCCAAAAGTTTAATAGAGCGCCTTTCTGCACTTAGAACTAGAATAGTTGTAATGGCAGGTCAAGAAGCTCCAACCATTACTAGAACAAGAAGGAGAACTGCAACGCAACATGGTAGGCTTGTGTGTTTAACTTACCATGCAATCTCTTTTCATTTTTCTCTGGTTGTTCGGTTCTTACTCATTCATGAAGCTTGGATGTCTCCTGCAGGAGGTTCCACACTGGCTGATCTTCTGCAGGCCCTGGAAGATTACTTGCCAGTACTTTTGGGTTTAGTTAAAGATGGTATGCACTATGTTACTACGCCACTGGATGTATACAGGCATGAGCTCATGGTATATTTCTGATGTTCCTGAATTTCATGTGCAGGGAACCCGTTACAGCATAAAGTACAATTTGCTTGGGTTAATCAAGAGGATGAAGTTGAGGTAAATTAAAAAAACATTTGTCTGACTGATATTATTACTCTTTCCTTCTAGATTACATCTTTGTAATAGTCGTAAGTGCAAATTTCGGTGTTCTAGGAAACGGCAATGTACAGTGCTTGGTATGAAGTGCTGTCAGTTTTGCACTTGATGGCGATGCTATCACTATCACAAGCCAATCTATTGCTTCTTCCCAGAATTTCTGCTGATGGTTATCAGCCAAAGGTATCGGAAGGTATGCCATGAAGGTCTGAGGTTGCTACTAAATGAACTGCATGAATTATCATGACATTTACAGAAAGAATGTCATCTTCTTGTCAGATGTTGGCATATAAGGGTTCTCAAATTATGTAGAAGTCAGTTGTATTGACTTTATTCTGGTTGCATTTCAACTTCATTCTTTTGTGTATTAGAGAGCAGGCGGTCTTGTGTTGATGTGTTCTTAAAGGCGGCTGGATATCTTGATTGCGCTGTTCGACAAGTTCTCCCTCAGTTTCCTAGTGAATTGAGGTCTAATAGTTATTTTGATTACTGGTTATTTTGATCGAAGACATCATCAGAAGCTTCAAGACTTATTAATCTGAGCAATGTTTTATTTTAGGAGAAATTTACCAGTGGATCTCGCAGAAGGGGTTTTAAGAGCACTTTGCCTTCAGGCATTAGGGCAGGTATTTCTCAGATCATGGTCCTCTTGCTTATGTAGGCATGAAAAATTTCCTCCTGTTATTGCACTTCCTTTTGTTGTGTAATTAAGCACTATTTGTATCTGCTGATACAATGTATTAGCGATAATGGGCGGGTAAAGCAATCTTCCATACCAATTTTTCCCATCTTTGATGAGCCTATTTCCTGTATATATAACATATTTATCCAGTAAAAGTATATATGAAAGTAATTTGAAGAGTTGCTCTTATAAAACTTTCTTGTTCATATTTTGCTACATCTCACTGCTTCAGCCCGAGGTTTGGTTTCTGTTTCGGCCGAATTACAGTATTTTGTTTCTCTAGTTCTGATTTGTGTATAAGAATACCGCCAAAAAGATTTTAGTACTGAGATCCCTGGATGCAAGTATCAGAATTTTTAATGATAATAGAGTGAAATGAAGAAAATTGTTTATTTTCCATGTGACATGTACATACAGCTTTTCTTTTACTTGTTGTTTGTTGGATTCTTTATGCCTGGTGTATTGCCGACTTCTGAACCTAGTTTAAACAAAATGACTGTGTTAGCAGTGTTTATTTTTTGTTTGTTTCTGGTGTTTGTTCACTGGTTTTTATCTTATTGTTCATTAGGGGGTTGATATTCAACTTGGTCTTGCAATTGACAGCACCAAAGCTACGCTAGCTGTGAAGCGTAGGCTTGCTTGTGAGATGGTGAAATATTGGCAACAGGTACATCTTTCTTTTTGAGTTCTTAGCACAACTACAGTTATATTCAAGTTTCTGATTCAATATGGACAATTTCCTATGGGATTTTAAAGATGTAATGCTGTTTGCACTTACAGATAGCATCATAAATGGCATCTTTTCTTTATTTTTCTTTCCATGTGTCTTTTTCTATTATTTATTGTGCATTGCGTCCTCGATAAATGAAGTTTGGGTTTAGTGAATGGGGAGGTTGGTTAACCTTGACGTTTATGGCACTGGTGGAGACTAGCGTTTATGATATATGTTATGTGTGGATGTTGTCTCCAATTCACTGAGTTTTTCTTATGGCTTTTGACTTTTATTAGTCTTGCACTAACATTGTTAGTTTGCCAAGGTAAAAAGCTATCTGCTTACCGAAAGTTCTTCCATTTTGTTGCTTTTATAGGCCCAAGATAACATCATGAACCTTCCCTTAGCAAATGGTTGGGGGGAAAAGCATCGGCTCTTTATTAAATGGAAGTATATTGAATCCCGGGTAACTTGTATTTCACTTGGCTTTTCCCCTGATTAATTTATTTTGGCTTTGCAGTTTCTGCTTTTTGGGTTGGATCATTTAATCCTTTACGTTCTTAAATTTCAGTATCATTTGTGTCAAAAACTGTTTAGCACAGTCCACTCTTACAGATGTAACCAGAAAAGACTAGTTTTTGCTTCTTCCTCCTTTTTTTTTCCCTTTTTTTCTTTAATTAAAAAGAACTCTTATTTAATCTTCTGGAACTTACATGAAATTTCCATTTATGAGCAGGCTGCAGCATACTATTATCATGGTTTGATTCTTGATGAGGGTAACACAGAGAAATCCCATGGAATGGCTGTGGCTGCACTGCAAGCAGCGGATGAATATCTGAAAGAAAGTAGAAAGGCATCTGAAGCATTCAACTTGGCTGTTCCTCTATCTAGGTAATAGTCTTACTTACATCTCGTTTTCCTGGGCCCTATGACTTAAACAAGTTAAATGTTTTATCAAGTTGATTATCAAAATCGGGTGGAGTAAATCAAGGCTTTTGGTTATTTTACTCATCTAGGGTGGGTAGATATCAAACTTCATGATTGTTTCTTTGTGCTTGTTCAACAACAATAATAAATCAAATCTGAGGGCCTTTTTGCATGCAAATCAGTCAGCATCATCGACATATGTTTTCCACTAGCTATTAACTTGTTCCATACACATAACACATCATATGGATAGTTTATCAATACGGGACATTATTTGAAACGTGAGATTTTTCAGCTATTGCTGTTGTTAATGCAGAAACCCGCCCCTGTGGGGAACCATGAAATTTCTCTCGGAGAAAATTCCAAAGGATACTTCTAGCAAGGTGCGAATCAACAAGGACTTGTATTCCTCCGAAAAGTAAGTTACCTCTTCTCCTTGATGAATTTGGATAATGGGATGGCTGTTTCTTTATCTTGCACTGTGTGTGTGTACATTAGATGGACATCATTTCGTTGTAACCTTGGAATCTGATTAAAATTATCCAGACAAATTCAATCTTTCCTCAAAATCCATTTCATGAGCATACAAAATCTAATGCAAGTACACATGAATTCATGGTTGGGAGTTTTTTTTTTTTTTTTTGAACTGCAGAATCATGGAGACGGCACCAACATTACCAGACTTCGCTTTGGCCCTAAAACCGGAAGAGTATCAGCTTCCAGCTGTGGATACGTCCTGGAGGAATGAAGAGAACACACATCGGGCTTCAGCGTAGAAAATAATTGAACAATGTGATTATCACATCACATCATATCAGTCGGTTTGATAACAAATAATGGCAAAAGGCGGATATAAAAATCTGATGGCCTAAGATTGAGAGTGCATATAAAAAGGCTCTTTTTTCCTGCTTCACCCCCTCCCTCTGATTTTGTTATTGTTTTGTTTCTTTCTTTGTTTTTCTTTTTTGCCCTCTTCCACTTTAATTCTTTTGCATAATCCTTCACCTGTCTGATGCTTCAAGATATACTAGAGAAAAAGCTGATCTCGTCCCCTTTCCTGTAATTACATAACTGGGCTTCCATTTCCATACCCATTTGGCTATTGTTAAAATTAAAAAGAAAAACAAAAACTAGAGAGTACGCTATTGTTGGTATAATTCCAAATTTTGGTCTTTAGGTATCTTACTGTGTTTCCCGTCATACTGGTCCCTTGTTACATTTTTTGTGCTAAATTTATTTCTGTACACGCAGGTCTTATTGTTTACCAAAAAATCATATGTGAAACAATTGTGTAAGTATTTATTTATTACAACATAAAAGTGTCACAAATAGTTTGTATCCTTTTCAAATGGGTTTAACAAAATTAATTAACTGTGCAAAGCACAAATACAAATAGTTCGGCTGAGCAGTTTCTCCATTTCCGACAAATATCCAAAACTTCTTGCGATTTTCTTTTTAATCCTTTTTTTCTAAAATGTTAATGTTGTATATTATCTATATAGGTCTCATACTGTCTTTGATCGTCTTCAAACACGTACGACGTACCTGTAAAACCTTGATGCAAATACTCAGATTCGAGAGACATAAAATGGTAGGGTAGCTTCAATTAATTATAGGAAAAGGAGAAGCAAACGATAATTATTTGTGACGTTTTTCAATTTTTGTAATTATGTTCCCTCAGCCCCAAATGTGGAAAAACCGGATTTTTCTGTTTTTTTTTTTTTGATGTTTATACCATTTGGTAATTATTTCAAAGTATCAAAAGTACATTTGCTCTACAATTCCCACTGTCGTCTCAAAGATCTCTCTACTGTGATGCTTTTCAATAGCGTGAACTCCATTGCACGAGTTTTCTAATTCTTGGCAATTACGCTCCCGGAAATATCATTGTTTGCAATCACAGCTTTCTTTCCACCTTCTACATCGTCTCAGGTCCCTAATATCAAATCAAAATAATACCAAAGGTTATAGCCAATGAAGACAGATCTCTAAGTCTCTTGCCCTACGTCCTATCGTGAAAAATGAACAAACCAGATCGTAGTTTCAATAACCGGGGGGAAAAAGAAAATTTTCAAAGTCAGTAACCAAAAAAACTGCATAAATTAGACCAACTTGAACATAACATTTGAAATACAAGAGTAATTGAGACTGCGACATCAGCAAAGAAAGAGAAGATTGAAACATGAGAACAACAACAGGGAGGCAGGTCCATGTTGAGTGCTTCGGCTGTGTCTAAAATTGGAGGCCATGTTCTCGGGCTGCATCAGCGAGGGCTTCGATGCGTCCATGGTACGGGTACCCACCGCGATCAAAGGCCACCTTTGTAATCCCTTTCTCAAGACATGACTTTGCAATTACTTCCCCTACTTTTTTAGCGACATCCTGATACAAACACACACACACCCCAGTGTTATGTCCTTCCGTAGCTTCTAGTCACCAAGTTCACAGGGGAAACGGTTTCAATGGTGAACAGACAATGTACGGTACAAATGGGAATGCCTTAGTCCCTTTGAATTGATATCAAACCTAACTGTCAATTCTACTCCCCAACTTTACATCGTTTAACATGTTCAAGACCTTTTACATTTTACAGGGATGGATGTTACATTAGCTTTTAAGTGGTGTTGGACCTTTTAGGTTCCTGGTTTTATTCATTACAATCCCTTGGCTCTCTTTTGAAGCACTCGCCAATTGAGAGCAGGGCCCCTAATAACTTTTTGCAGAAGCAATTATAAGGATGATAAGCCTACGACTGGCAAAACATGGTTTAAGTTGGAGACATGGCAGTCCAAACTCCAACAGACATGGTACCGTTATCAAAATTTTCAGGAACATTAATTAGCTTTTGCTAAGCAACTAGAAATGCAATCCAGAGATACCCACATTTGATTCAGATATAGAGCACTCAATAAAAGTGACTTTGTAAGAAAAGGAATGCCGTATCCGAAATGTAGAATCAAAAAAAAGAAACAAAGCACAAGACATTGACAATGGAAAAGTTGGGGAAAATGGAGGGAACTTACGATGGTGGGAGAGGAAGAGAAATCGAAGAGTTCGGAGATGGGCTTTTGCATGGTGGAAGCAGAGGCAAGAGTGTGCATCTTAGAATCGTCAATCACCTGAACATAGAGATGCTTGTTGGACCGGAACACGCACAGTCTAGGTCTCTCGGGTGTACCTTCTACCTACACCCACCACACCAACATATATATATATATAGACATACAAAATGCAATTGGAAATAGGAATCACGAAGAAAATTAAAAGAATTGGGAGGTGATGGAGGGGCACCTTCTTCCGAATGCGGGCATGGCGGGCAGTTCGGTCTTCTCCTCGGGTTCTGGTCTTGGCTTGGACCTGAAGAGTGAGGGTGGTGAGAGGAGGAGGAGGATGGGAGGAAATGGGAGCCCTCCGGAGGGATAAATTCCGGTTAGACGCCGACAGCCGGGAACACCAACTGAAAGAGGCGGAGGAGTTAGTTGCAGCAGAAGCAGTAGTGATGAGATTGCAGCAAGATGAAGATGAAGACATTTTGGCTTATCCCCTTTTCTCTCTCGTTCTTCTTCCCTTTTAGTAATTAGAACCAACGACAAAGATAAGGCAACTCCAGTCCGGTTCCATGGGCCGGGCCGGGCCGACTCACACCTATTTCACGCCGGGGACTAGCTGCCGTTAGTGAATCAACACCAAAGTAACCGTGTCCTGTTGGTTTTAACAGCAGCATCAAGAAACACATCCAAACCATTAAGGCCGCTAGGGTTAGGCTAGTGAATCGACAGCAAAATTCAACTCTCGGGTTTATATGTTGTAACTCCACCACCCATTCCTCTTCAAAAGCTTCACGAGCAGCCATCACCAGGGATCGATTCATGCCACAAAACATCCATATCAGCGTTTTTTTCAGTCACTCTGCTGCACTCCATATTTTTACTACATACATTTACATTGTAATAATGTTCCATACTAGTAATGATTAACGGGTTACAAAACATGTTCAATCTTTCCTAACCTTTCTTTGTATTACATTCAATGAATGAATTCCTTTTCTTTCTAAAAACTAATTTTGAGTCCTGAATGTACATGAAAATACAACCAAAATGCAACTTCTCCCATCCTCAGTTGTTTTACTCCCTTCACTGACCCTGTTGTGGTCCTTTCATCCTCTCTACGATGTGCCTTCCTTTCTCTTCTATGTGTCTCCTCTTCTCTTCTAGCTTCTCTCCCATCTTTTTCCCAAACCCAAGCATTCTTGCCCTCACTCTCTTCCGTTTCGAATCCTCCTCATCGTCCGTGTTATCATTCAGCTCTCGTTGAGCTGCTAACATCAGCGTTTCAGGTGCTGCTAACATCTGCCTCCCTTCCAACATCCTCTCTGATGTCTCCCCCTTCTCATTGATTCTTAACAATGGCCTTCTCAACTCGTCCACGCTTCTTTCTTGATTACCCACTGCAGCAGCAGCTGATGATGAAGTTGTACACTGTTCTGATGCTTCATTTTTAGGTTGTTTTGTCGTGCTACGCTCTTCGTTTGGTTTTGTCTGTCTTTTGTCTGTTGGTATTGGATTTTGAGGTATTCTTCTATTAGCTTCAACTGCCAATTTCCCATCTCCTTGTTTGGCAGAACTACCGGCGGGGTCTGTTTTAATCCATATCATCGGTGCAACACTTCTGGGTACCCAATCTTCCTTCTCTGCTAACATCCAAGGGATGCATACACTTTCACAGTTTGGCAACACAAGTGAGTCACGAAAAGATGCCTGCAATAATCATCACGGTATTAGCAAAATCTTTGCAAGAAACTACGCAACTATGTACCCATGCTGCGATTTACCTTCAATTTGCCTATTATGAGTAAAGCGAGATGAGTATTTGTGATTTTGTGATCCCCAACGGACGACTCCAAGTTGAAATCAAGATCAGGCATAGATGTGAATCCATACCATATTCTATCTGAAGGAGGTGGCTTTATGTGTAGCCGTACTGTTCCTCGAATCCGTGTTACCCGTACTCCCAGTGAGAGTGGAACCTTCATAAATATATTAGGTCAGAACCAAACTCAAATGCAAGCAGGAATTACATGGAGCAGTCCGACCCCCAAATTTGGGGTTGTTGAAATTTACAAACCTGTGAAACCTGCTTTGCAACAGAATGCAACATAGACTTCCACCTGGACACCTGAGATGATGAGCGCACTGTATTCTTTTGACTTCTTATCCCATCTGCAAGATTGAGTAAAAACTAATTCACGATCCATTCTACAACAACCGTCTTTCGACCACTTTTTTCCGTGTGAAGGAGACAGATCGGGGTTAACCGTTCAAGTTGAACTCATCATTACACAATAGGAGCACAAGAAATTTAAAAGTTTCGAGCAAATAGCAAGCGGAATATGTAGCCAATAATAATACCTGCTTCTTCTCCTTCTCTTTTGTCTAATTTTTCAGCTTTTTCTTCAGGATTATTCAAATCGCTCTCATACTGCACAAAGGTCTCCAGCAAATCTGAAGTGACTTGATCCACATCACTTGATTCAAAGGGTACATCCTCCCCTTTTTGAAAATCTAGTTCCTGGACTTCAAGTCTAGTTTCAATGTTTAATACCGCACCACCAGCATATTCAATGTCAACATCAAAGGCCCATAACTCATCCATATGCGAGGGAAGGACCCTCATTGCATGAATGTATGGAGGAAGATTACCAGGATCCACAGAAGTGCAAGTGATCTCACCAATATAGCTTGGGCTTCGCATGTCAGACAACAATTTCTGATTCAGAAAGAAGAATCAAGGTATCAGAGTTGCAGAAGTGGGACATCTATAACTATCATGAGATAAAGACATTCTTGGAATTCCTTAATTTTCTAAAAACATGTGAAAACTGAAATAACAATTCAGAAACCAAAAGTATATATACATAAAAAGCAACACACATTATCACCTGAATCCGTGCTTTAAGGGAACGCTTTAGCTCTCCGTTACATTTGGCATCAAAGAACAATCTTGACAACAATAAATTCCAACAGAGAGTCCCTTCATCACCAAAAACTTTTTCATCAGAATCAGCATCAGAGGCAACAGAGGCCCTACTTCCTAAGTCAGAATTGATAGACGAGGAAGATGGAAGCATCAAATTCTCTGGAAGCTTCCCTGCTACGGCCATATTAGCAATACCATAATCACGGAGTGAACGAGATCTCTGGCTGCTCTTTCTATCATCGTTGACTAATGTCAAAGCCCCACTTACCTTTCCCTCTGCACCACTTTTGGAAGCCTTCTTCGCAATTTTCTTCAGAAATTGACGAACCTTTGATGAGGAGCCATCAAGCTCGATTGACTTATCAATCGGATCAATTGACAAACCCACAGATGGTTTCATGAATGAAGGGTACTCGGTGTTTAGTGATGCCACATACTGGCGAAACTCCAAACTCAATTTGGTAAACCACTTAAGTTTGTCATCATCAGAACTTGAAGCAAGGCGGAGGGCTTTACACCAAGACTCTTTCTCCCAAGATGTATCCACATAAATGTAAAGTATCTTGCTTCCCTTGTACAATCTTGATCCTTTACTCTCAACTTTAATAGGATACCTTTTGGCCCTGTAACATCACAGCACAGAGAAAGAGAATTTTTCAAAGCCAGAAACAACTTATATCAATACTGAACTATAAATGCATACAGAAACTAGAACCTAACAGTCAGTAGAACAATGAAGAAATAGCAAATCATGCAACCAGCCGATGGAGATAAAGGAATAAATTGAGATCTTAAATAAATAGCTAGAGATTCATTTAAATTCCAAGCACCATTTTCTTGATGAGAGGCTTGTTGCCGAAACAGCAGCAACTGTACAACCCCTAAGCTTAACTTCTGTGCGGGAACCATCTGATTCCGAGATGAACAGTGAATTATCTTTAACCATGCCATGCTTTTGAATAGGGAAAACTTCCACAATTTCCCTTTTACGCTTTTGATCCCGAGGTAAGCTATCTATGTGCCAATCTTTCTTCATGTTATCAGGTTCTAAAATCCATATCATCCCCTGAAAGAAAAGAAAGATAAAACAAAATGACAAGACAACCGAAAAAGAAGAGATTTGAAATTAGCCACAGGTAGGATAGAGATGTAGTTACAGTTTAGATGATTAGTTCTGCATGTAAGAGTGGTAATACAGAAGACAAGACCCAACAAAAGCAGCTAACAACCCCAGAGAGAGTGCCCAAACGGATAGAAAGTGTGCATTTATCTTAACCTCTCCCTTGAAACGGGAAGTTAATACTACATAATCTAGAGGCATCAGGAGAGCAACATTATCACAAACGGAGAGGTTGTATTATTAGGAAGGGTATATCATAAAATGCTCCGTGGGCTGCTACTTTTAATGCCAAGCCGGCCATAAGAATAGACTCAAGCTTGCTGGCTGTTAAGAACCACAATGAGACTAGCTTTTCTGCTCGAGAATAACATTGTTCGAATTCTATTGGGGTTTATGCAGCTTCCTTTTAGTCACTACATAATAGAGGAAGATGTGGACATTCCCTAACATAATCACACGAGTTTTGAAACAGAGATAATACATACTGATATGCGCGCACACACAAAGTCACAGACACAATAACGAATAGTAAGTGAGAAAAAGGAAAAGGAGATATTATGAAGCAAAGGAATAGAGGAAAAACGAAGTTTATTTGGGACCTGCTTGTGGGAGAGAGAGGGATCGTGGTGGATAGGGAAAGAACCCGGCTGGCCTTGTTGTTCATCTCGTTGTTGCTGGGCAACTCGTCGATTGAGGTGGCGTATGAAGAGCAGCAATCCTACACCTTCCAGGGCTAGAATAGCCACTGCCCCACAAACAAATGCTACTCCCAACAACAGAATCAACATCATCGTTCCCTCTACACGATTTCCCTACTACGCCTACTCAACCAGTCATTTGGATCCCAGATGAATAGATCACGAGAAGAATGAAGAGATCCATCCCATTTTGCGATTCAAAACATATTACGCATTACGCAGTGCGCTCTCTCTCTCTCTCTCTCTGTTCGTTTGGCAGTTGCTGCGCTTCTGCTCGTCTTTGGAGTATCTGGTCTGTTCCACTCCTTGGATGGGTTTGGGTTTGGGTTTGGGTCTGGGTCCTTTAGTTAACCCGTTATCCAGTTTCCAAATTCTCCTCCTGTCAAGCAAGCAAAACGCATCCTCTTTCTAATCCCCTTTTTAATTTACAGCAACAACTCTATAAATTAATGATGTTACAAAAATTTATTAATTTATTATAGAGATTATTATTTTGTTGATACTAATTCTCAATAAAACACATTCTATATTGATAGTTGAGAGCATATTCCTAATAAGTAAAAATAATACTATACTTGCAACTGATATGGGTATTAATTAAATCACATCAACCCTCACCAGGTTGGAGTGTGAAATTGAACTCAAAACCTCTTTTAGAAAATAAGAGTAGTTTGACAATATATGTTTTAATAGTTCTTTTTTGGTATAAGATGCAAAAAAATTTAGGCTGCGTCCTTTTGTATTGAAAGGAAATCATAGAAAAGGAATTCATCAAATGAATGTTTAATTGCATTTGACATGTTTCAAACATACATTGGAATAGTAATTTGAGATAAAGACAAAATTTCCAAACTATGTGCTAAATACTAGGCTCCCTCGAATTTTCTTGTAAGGACAAAACCCCCTTGGCCACCATAAATTTAAAGTTAATGGTCTATGAGAGTAAAAATCAAGATGGCTATGACTATATTTAAATGGAAAAATTCATATATTGAATTTACAATTATTATACTCCAGCATTACTTATAATTTTCAAAGTATAAAGATAAAAAAATTCCAAAAGATATTCATCTACCCTAATAACCGAGTGATCATATATCGTTTTTAGTGTCTGTAATTAAAATTGAAATTGAGGTCGACAACCTTAGAGAGGATGAATAAGGTTGTCAATAGTTTTATTATTGAATAATGTATTATTTGACAATTATTATTTTAAGAAATAAAAACAAAATAAAAAAATGACTAGCTCAAAACAAATGAAAAAAGGTGCAATATACGAAACGGAATAAATTACCCACAAGTAAAAAAAAAAAGCAAGAAAATAAAGAGGGTCTTTGTAAGACATATCGAAAAGTAAATTAATTTGACGAACTTTAACGACCCTCAAGTAAATATAAACATAAGCAAATAAAAAGGGTCTTTGTAGGGCTACTCGAAGAGTAAATTAATTTGACGGACTTTACCGACGGGAAATTGATCCCAATTTAAATTGCAAAAGAGCTTTTGCTTGACTCCTCATTAAATAAATATATAATATAAAATATATTAGGTTAGACAAAATAAAATTCAAGATGAGAATGAAATTAGAATCGTAAGATTTAATTATTTATTGTATGCTAAAAAATGAAATGTAAAATAAAAATAAAAATGGACAAGACACAACGAAAATTCTTAAGTGGTTCAAGTTTTATTCTCATGGGGAAATTCTAATACACCCTCAAATTCTAACTTGGACTCTTTTCCTAAATCCCCAAAAACAAACTCAAGAATTCTTTTAGGTGAAATCTAAACTCTTACAAATAAATACACTCAACCCAATATTTAATCACTTTAATCCTTCACAAGTGTTTGAAAGACTCTAAGTAAGTGTGTAGTTATCACATGTTTTCTACAAAAACAACCAAAGCATTTTATCTCATATAAGTATCAAACTACCAAGAGAACTTTGTTTCACTTATCCAAACTTCCCTTCACAACTTATATGAGAAAATTTAGGATTTTACTCCTATTTTATGTTGAAAAACCCAGAAACTCTATGCTTACAAGATGTTAATGAATGACACAAAGTGTCAAATACAAGTTTAAGTTCAAACATGTATAATGTGTGTGGAAATATACCTCACTTGAAAAATCAATCCTCAAAAATGAAAATTCTCAAATCTAATATACTAATTCAATATAGAAAGTTTGGAGAGGGTATGAATACAGAAATAGCAAAGTTTAAGAAGGCTTGGAGTGAATATAATCTATTTGCACGTTCAATTGCCTTCTATAGACCACAGGACGCAACTTGAAACTCCAAAGTCAAAGCAAATTAATGTTGTTGTCTGGCATGTAATTTGATCTTTATTGTTTGATATCTTTAAGCATTCTGCAATCGTAATTAGATTTTGATGTCTTTATCAAAGTTGGGAGAATGGGTCTTTTCATCCCAAGGTTTGAGCCACACCATTTAAAACATCCCAAAGTTTAAAAGCATGCCATTTTCATTCCAAACTTTTTAAAAATATGTAATATTAGGACATTTGTTAATTTTTTCAAGTTATTTACGGCGATATTTCATTCAGTTCTTTTCTCCCATTTTTTTTTAGTCAAAAAAGTTTCATGCTTGCGTTTGGTAAATTTGGTCCATACCAAGCAAAAATGTTGCACGCCCCTGCATCAATTACAACACCAATTTTTATAATGATGCTACATATTTAAAAAAATAAATGAAATAAGGCTTACTTTCTAATTAGGACACACACAAAACCTCTCATGATTGTTATCAATCTAGAAGGTTAATCTTGGATTTTTTTTTTTCTTTTTCTAAGCAAGGGAAGAATGGATGATGTGAAGACCAAATTAGGTTTAGCTATTTTCTTATAAGGTGGGAGTTAGTGGAACGTGTTAAATGATTAAAAGAATTGAGGGAGGAGAAATAGAATAAAGTACCACTACTAATTAATTAACTGGAGTTAAAAATTTAACAAATATCCTAATGTAACATGTTTTTAAAAAGTTTGGGATGTAAATGATATGTTCTTAAACTTTGAGATGTTTTGGATGGTGTGGCCCAAACTTTGGGATGAAAAGACCCATTTTCCCTATCAAAGTTGTAGTCTTATTTGTGTGATCTAATGCAAAAAGAATCACTTCAATTGGATATTTATACTGCCAGATATCCTAGTTTTACAGAAACACATCACTCTGTTGAATTTCTGTACAACTTATATGGTTTGCTTGATTTTGGACCCGATAACAACTTTCTATGCAAAAACTCCAAGGATCAAAGTTATAGATATTTCAAAGATCTTTCAGAACATCCAAGTTCATGATTTTTCACTTCTTATAGGTGAAGCTATGACCTGCTGAAGTTCAATTATTAATTCTAAAATTTTGCAAGCTGAATTTTTATACTTCTATAAATGTCAACACTTTTCAAATCATTAGCTATATCACAAATTTGTTTCATCATCAAGACATATAGTTGTGGATTGCTCATCTTTCATTTTACTTTATTTGTTTCCTTTCCAGGACGTTAGTATACGTAGGACATCATTTTTTCTAAATTTTTATAAATTGATGAGCACTTCGCTGCTGTCTCTTAGTATGTAAGTCAATCTCGGCTCTACTGTTTAATTATCTGCAACTGCTAATAATTACGCAAAACCCCCAGGGCGAGCATCAGAGATCACAAACTAGCATTCATTTCTACTGCTGGTTAAATGTGACATCAATCCACTATGGATGATGTTATAGGTCCTAAGTACAGTACATAAGAATTAAATGGGTGCATCTGGTAATCATAGCTCTTGGATCCATATATAATTAACTTAGATATGTAGATTCTGAGATTAATTGAACAAACATGTAGGAGTTAGGAAGCAGAATTCATTTCCTGTTTTCTCTCCTTTCTCAATTAGAGGCAGCCAGCCATAACTCATTATTAATGAGAAGGGAATGGTGATATTTATCTTCAAGCTGCAGAGCATGTAGCCCCCCTTTCCGAACCAGTGCCAGCCGCGGCAGGCTCGAGATTCTTCTTTCTTGATCATCTACCTGTTATTCTTGCTAGTACCACCACCAGTGACGTAGGTCCTGAGGGAAGGAGATTGGGTGAGTCCATAGGGCGCCACTGTGGTGTTCTGATTCCCACTCTTCTGCTGCATTCTTCTCCTGGCAAGGTAACCGCGGACCCAAGGGGTGACATCCTCGTTGATCTTGATCATGATGAAGAAGATGATACGATATATGATAATCATGCTGAAGATGACGCTCAGATCTATCCATTTTGATCTGTTCACGTCAATCTGGAAAACATACTCCAATATGTACTCTCCAGAGATTTTAGGCATGTCCGGGGTTTGGTTATCAAACACCAGGCCCTTCAGATCATTCTGGTATTGACCCTGTTCCAAAACAAAATGTATCCCAAGACAAGAAACCCAGTATTAAATGCATGCTCTCCACATTATTTTGATCCAATCACAGCACAACTAATTAATATAACCTGAAGAGCCCAGAAGTGGAAACTGATGTAAGACATTGGGTAACGCCAGACTGGCTTTGGGATGTCATTCGGGAGTCTGAAGTAGCCAGATACCAGCATAAATATTCCCTGAAGGAATTGCATCAATTAGGACACCGTGAGAGTATTAATTAAACCAAACCCCGCAGCAGGGAGAAAAACCAAGCATGCATAATTGCATATATTGTATACCTGAATACCAGCGCCAGTGATGATGCCCATGAGGAAGTTGGGTACAATGCTCGCTATAGCCATCATCAGGCTCTCGACCACTGTCACACTTGCATAAAGGCACAACACAAAGAACACATAATGCGAAAACCCGGGATGGAGGCGAACCATGAAGTAGCAAACCGTCCCAGATATAAAAGTGATCAATATCAGAAACGGCATTGCAGACAGTGTGTTGCTGATTACAAATGAAGTTACACCATAGTGGCCATTCATTCTCTCTCTTTGGAACACCTAATTCAAACAGATTCTCACCACAGTAGGTCAAAAAGGCACTCCACGTTAGTGATACAATCCAATGATTGAAGTTTAAAACAGACGTACCTTCATATCTTCCACAAATGAAGGAAAACCACCAATTGACATGAACGTGACAAAGCCAAAGACGAAAGATGCACAAGCACCCCTAGCCTGCACAGAAGAATCAAGAACTAAATTCAGAAAAGACAAAAGAGGATAAACTTGTTAAAACCAGAAAAAAAAAAAAGATGTCCTCTACATTATTAACAAGAGAATTACCAGGATAGAACTGTAGCTCGTGCCCACATTAAGATAAATTGTTCCAATGCAGATGGTAACTACGATGTAGATAACAAGCCTGAGCCAGTAATAACCAAAATCTCTCGACATGTTCACGAAAGATCGCTTTGTTAGAGTGAATGCCTGCATTAAGAAACTTGCCTGACTCCCCCCAGAATCCAAAACGGTCCCTTTCTGCCGACAAGTTAAGATGATTTGAAATCGAGTTAACCACCAACTGAATAGCACACCTAACCAAAGAGAATCTGAAAGAATCAGAGATAGAACAGAGTCCGAGCTTACAATTTTAGACATCTCCTCAACTTTTTCTTTAGCAGAGTAGCAATACTGAGAAGTGCGGTAGGAGTCAACAAGGGTTCTGATTGCTTCAGCCGTTGTTATTTTTTCAAGAGGGTCATCATTCGTCTCAAACTGAACAAGTTTTAGGATGAACAACAGAAAGTTAAAATGCAAATAAGCAAACAACACGGAATAAAGAATACTCAAAGAACAAATTCCAGTTTTCCCAATTGATGTGAAGCAAAAAAATGGTCCTTGAGGCAATGTCTAAGCCTTTGAATATATTGAGATTCCAAAAACAATTCCATTTTATTTCTTTCTATGGGAACAGTATCCTTTTTCTGCTTTCGATGCTAGCCTGTTACTAATGGAAAGCCGTTTCTTAGGGCAAGATGAATAAAAGAGGAAGGACTAGTAAAGAGTACCCGTATCTTCATGGACCCCTTGAGAGTGGCCTTAACTTTGTCAAAATCGGAATTTATGCATCTAAGAAAATGATCAGATGGGTTTCTGAGAGAAGGACAAGGAAAGCCAGCTTGTGCGAAGAACTGCACAAAAGAAATATACAAAATGAGTTAGGAGGGCAGCACAGATTTTAATGTCTGATGATTGAGAAGGGAAAATAAAAAAAAAAAAAGAAAAAATAGTGAAGGAGTAGGTAATTGCCTCGTAAGCTTCAGAAGCCTGTCCAAAATAAACGGTCTTCCCACCAGAAAGCAAGTACAATCGATCAAACAGTTCAAAGACCTCGCTGCTAGGTTGATGAATGGAAGCTATCACAGTGCGGCCATCTCTGGATAGACTACGCAAGGTCTGGGTCACGAAAAATGCCGAAGCACTGACACACATATTCCAACCAACCACACTAACAGAATCAGAGAATGCAAGGCGCGTATAATGAAAAATGAATGGAGGGAGGAGGAATCAGGGGTACCTACCTGTCGAGTCCACTGGTAGGCTCATCTAGAAAAAGCAACCTAGGTCGCATGAGGATCTCCAGCGCGATGCTAACCCTTCTCTTTTCTCCACCGCTGATCCCGCGCAAGTGCCAGTTTCCGATAACGGTGTCGGCACAGTCCTGGAGGCCCATTTCAATGATGGTGCTCTCTACCAAGGCACGCTTCTCAGACCAAGGCATCCTATCAGGGAGACGGAGCTGCGCTGAATAGGAGATGGTTTCCCGAACCGTCAATGTGCCGATCAAGGTGTCATCTTGGGTCACGTATGCCTGATGATGATTGAGATGAGGAGGAGTTATATACAGTACTATGTTTAAGTAGTTAGACTAGGAATATATATATATATATATATATATATATATATATATATAAGCTCTTTCTCTACTTGAAGATTAATACTAGTATAATGAAAAGAGAACACAAAAAGAATCAAAACCAAAATGTAAATTAAGAAGGAGAGAGAGAAAGAAAACTGACTGCAGTTCCAAAAGAGAGATTGGCACGGCGACCATTGAGAAGGATAGTGCCGGAAAGGAAAGCATTGGCGGCGAGCCGACCGGAAAGGGCGTCGAGAAGGGTAGATTTGCCAGAACCAGAAGGACCCATGAGGGCAGTGAAGCTTCCGGGTTCAGCATAGCCAGTGAGGGCTTCAAGTACATTCTGGGTGTCCCCATTGTTGAGGGTGACCATGACCGTAAGATCCTTCCAGGTGAGCCTGGCAGAGACATCCCCAACCAATTCGGTGTTGGTTTTCTCCTTCCAAAGGGTCTCACTCAGAGGACTGAGACCTCCCACCACTAAACCCTGGCCTTGGGGTTTGCTTGCTTCTATCTCCATCATCACTTCCGAAGCCGCAGAAGCAGAGCTCCTCATGATTTGCTCGCTAATATGGATAGATAGATGGGATGGATGGACTCGCTAATCAATAATAAAGGGAGTAGTTGTTTTTCTTCTCAACACTAGCTAACAGTTGTTCTTACTCATGAATGGGATTAGCTAGGATGAAGCAGATAAATTGATTAACGACAGATCTCAAACTATTGATTGTACTAGTAGTAGCTCTTTAAAAGCAGGTAATAGTGTGAAAGAAAGAGAGAGAGATGAGAAAAATTAGTGTGAATTTTGACCAGTTGTTGGGGAGATGGATGGGATGGATTCAACTAATCACACAAAACAAACCGTCAAAACTCATTGGCTGCATGATCCTCCTTCATTCATTCATTCATTGATTTCTCGGAATGCATGTCTATCTATCTATCTAACACCTCAACTCTTGTTCTGAATTAAAAGGCCATCCCTGAATGAATGAATGAATTCAAACCTCATCCTCCCTACTCTTCTAGGATTGGGAAAGAAGAAGAAGAAGAAGAAGAAAAAAAAAATCATCTTATTCTGGGCTGTGGGGGGACATTAAATGGTTACCGGTAGAGGTTGTTGGTAGACGGGCATTAATGACACAGACCGACCCCATTAAAGCCCTTGGTTCCGCAGAGCAGCAGCTCTCATGCAACACCCCCCATCCAGCCTGTGTCCTTTTCAATCCCTCTTTCAACTCTCACCAATGTTGTTGTAGCAGCAAATTTTGCAAATTGATTAGACCCAAATTTAAAATTTTTGATTTTATTCGTTTTATTTTACTAGTAATAATCAATAATAATAATAATAATAACCCATCAAAAAAAATTCAATGCTAGCTGCTTCTCTTTTTTCTTTCCCCCTCTTCAATTACTACTAACCTCCACCCGATCACTTCCCTCGATTAATTAATTAACTTCAATGATTTACTTATTGATTATATCTTCTTCTGCTCTCAAAGTTTCCCATCAAATCCTCTACTCTATCCATCATCGACTTTGTTTGTACTTTTCAAAGTGTTTCAAACATAATAAATACTAGTCCCGCTACTCCACCCATCGCTTCTCCTTCCTGATTCCACTCACTCTCCCAGTCTCCTCACAATTTTTACCAAGGCTTTCTCTACATTTCAGAGTCCGCACCATCCAAGTGACAATTCACGCTGACTTCAAATTTCACCTTTTTTTTTTCTTTCATTTCTTTTGTCGACCAAACAATTTTAAAATTTATTCCCTCAATGCTCCACATTAATACAGATTACAATTTTAAATTAGTAATTTTTTTTAAGAGAAAAAAGATATTAAAAGACCATAATGATATGTTATACAAGCGCACAAGGCCGTCTTTTCTCTAGTCAAACAAACCTAATTTCCAAACTAACTCCCACATGCACACCCAAATATGTACATCAAAATTGCTGGAACGAGCCCATCAAAATTGGCCGGTCTCAGAAACTCACTTTGGTCTACATTCCACGCTCCGCTCATGGCATTATAAAGTGAGAGTCTGTGACCTTAAATTGTAATGATGATACTTCCTCCGCTCTTAACGCATTTTGATTTGTCGTAAATTTCACTTAATATGTCATTCTAACTGATAATAAAACTTTAAAAATACTTTTACAGTAAATATGAAAATATATTTTCTAAGTTTTACTTTTTTAAAAAAAAAAACATTCTAAGTGAAATTTAGAATAAAGCAAAATGCCTTATAATAAGGACCGGAGTAAGTATGTATTTACTTGTAATAAAAACGAAAAAGTTGAGAAAAATGGTGATTTATCTGTGGAAATTGTATTTTTCTTTTTTGGGAAATATTCTGTAGAATATACAGGTATTTTCCTCTTTTGAGAGTGAAATGTACAAAACAAACAAACTTTAAGGATGGAAATATAAATAACAGAAAGCAAGAGACTGAAAGGGAAATATTTGGAAGGCAATCTAGGAGTTTCGAGTTACTTCCGGACTCCCATTCCCATTCTTTTCCCCAGAAAGAATTTATGTCTTAATCTAATGATTCTAGATGCTTTTTTACCCTTCAATTCCAAAGGTGAGATTAATAAAGTTGTGGCTTATTTTCCCCAAATTAGAGTAGCAAAATGGTTAGGATTCGACGGACCCGCGGTGGCGGTGGGATGTTGGCTCTTCTTGCCCTGCACGCCGTGAGTGAGTATTGCCGGAGCGAGAGGAAACCACCAGTCACTGCCGGCCTTTTGGCTGCCAACACCCTGATTTATTTGAGGAGGCCTGCCTTACTGGACGAAATTCTTCCCACACTTGATCAAGCTTGGTTCAATCCCCACCTTATCCTCAAGGTTCGCCATTTATCCTCCCTCTCCCACCTATTTTTGACAGAATTACTTTCGATTTATGGATTTTAGTTCGAGTTAACACTTGTTTTACTGAATTGTTCCGGAAAATTTCAAACAATGAATTATGGGGATTGTAGGGTTAAGCAGGTTAACAAATGAGATGCTTGCTTGTTACTTTTAGCAGTAAAGCTTTACGATTTGTGTTGTTCTTTTCGCGAAACCGTTGTGGATTTTGTTGAGCGATCTTCGTATTCTGGTTATATTTATGTGGTTTTGATAGCAAAATACTAACGTAACTGGACTGGATCATGATACACAAATGTGCCGCCGTGTTCTGTTTTTGACTACTTGTGGCCTGCTTCAGCTATGTAATTGTGGTTTGGTTTTGCGATAAAATTCTTTACAGAACAAGGATTTGAAGCGGTTTTTTCTGTCGGCATTTTACCACATTGGTGAACCTCATCTGGTGTACAACATGCTTTCGCTTTTATGGAAAGGCATCCAGCTGGAGTCTTCAATGGGAAGTGTAGAGTTTGCAACTATGGTGGCGGAATTGCTGGTCATGTCTCAGGGCATCACTCTTATAATGGCGAAATCACTCTTGATGTTTTTCGACTATGAGAGAGCCTATTACAATGAATATGCGGTTGGGTTTTCAGGGGTCCTTTTTGGGATGAAAGTTGTGCTGAATTCCCTGTCTGATAACTACACATATGTGCATGGCCTACTAGTACCTGCTCGTTATGCTGCTTGGGCTGAACTCGTGTTGATCCAAATGTTTGTTCCAGGTGTCTCTTTTCTGGGGCACCTGGGTGGAATACTTGCAGGCCTTTTCTACTTACGTTTAAGATCCTCTTATTCAGGTCGTCCTGATCCACTCACCAGAATCGTGAGAGCTGTTTGCAGTTTGTTCAGTTGGCCGTTGAGGTTGTTTAGGTTCCGACAAAGAAGACGAATTGGAGGGAGAGGAACTGTTGGTGGTTCTCTGTCTGAGTCTCAAAGAAGAATGTCATCATATGTTTGGAGGTGTAGAGCATGTACCTATGATAATTCAGGTTTGTTAAGTAGCTGTGAAATGTGTGGGACGAATCGTGACAATATTGATGATGATAGTGGAACCTCGCCTTCTTTTGAGTTATCAGGTCAGACAAATGACCTCTCTCTAGATGAATTACGTCTTCGAAGAGTTCAAAGATTTGCTACATAGATTTGATGATGATTCTCCTCGAATAACTTCTTGTTATTAACTTTGTAAATGATTTCTTTGTGCAATGTTCATTCTTGGGAAGAAAAAAAGTAGTCTGCTATGTGTCGGTGATGCTCCTCTAACAAGTATTGCTAATTTTATATTGAATCAATTTTGAGTAATGATACTCGACCTTGCAAATTCATCTCTACTTCGTATATCTTCTGGCTCAGCATTCACTCGTTTGGTGGCTAATGTGGTCATTATGATTATTTGGAAGTCTGATATGTTAAGAGATGTGATGATGCATTCTGAATGGTGATGGTGAAGCCGAGGAAGAAGATGCAGAAAACAAAAATAATGGGAATAGTAGATTCCTCTATTATTGAGATGGTGCAGTTGAACTGAGTCACTGACCTCTTCAAACACAGTATAGTAGTATATAGTATTCAGACATTATGGAGTTTCTCAGAGTTACAATGACCAGATCATACAGATAAGAAAATTTGGTAGTTCTTCTGCATGGTGTAGCTACGGTGGCTAGCTCCCTATCTTTGCATGGTTACGATCTTGGGCTAAGAACGTACATTCTGCAATCGTGAGCACCAACTTGGGCTGAAATCTGTCCTTTCACTGCCTCTTTGGTTGAGTGCTGCAGGTCAATCAGGTTCTATGTAAGACTTCTTTTCTCTCTTTTGTTTTCAGTATCAAGGATTTAAAGAACACTACGCCTTTTGTTACAAAATGACTATTCAATTTGAATTTTTTATCTTTAGTACAAATTTATACTAAGAAAAATTTAGACTGGGTGATCAATTTGGAACAGAAAGAAAGTAATATATTGGTACAAAGAGTAATTGAGTTGTTACCGCCCATAAGTCCCGAGCATTAACTACAGTTGTGGATCGGAGGCTGAGATCTGACCAATAAGCTGTGATGGTTGCCGTGGAAGATCCTCTGTTCCACAAAACCACAGCTACCCTGTTTCCACTAAGTGGTCCTCCCCACACCTGCATGCAAAAAAATGCACTGGGTAAACCCAAAAGACCAAAACTATGGTATGGTTTGAGTTAGGCCATTCAATTTGGGCCAACCCACTCAAACTCACCTCCAAATCTCCATTCTTCTTGAGCTTCCTCCCTTGGATACCAAGGTTATCTATCCGCAGCAAAATATATATGCGGTCAGTCCAGTTGAGGTGATATGCATCTCAAAATGAAAATTTAAATTGAGCAATTATTTTAAGTAGGAAATGATAGAGTTAACCAGTGTTTTTTATCACGAAAGTGATGATAATGCACACTATTATAAACATTCATAGTGAAATCGGGCTGAAAGAAAAAAAAAAGTGTTGAAAATTTGCTGATAAAGGAACAACAAAACCATTTTTACTAACCTTGGTTAACTGCAATAACTTCTTTATTGCTTAAGAGTTGGAAAGTAGTGGAGTCCATGGATCGAATGTCGCAGCCAATCAACAGAGGTGCCTTTAAAGAATAAGTTAGTGACATAATAGTAATGAGTAGCCAATATCCATCATTGATACTTGTGCTAAATCCATATGTAGGTGTTTCTTATCTGCTTAATCTGTTTATTAGTATTTTTTTTATTTAAGTAGAGTTGAAAACGAGGACAAGTTATCGCGTACTTTAGCTAATGCCCATATGCTGAAATGGGAGCGATATTCCTCAGTACTCATTCCTCCGTTTCCAACTTCCAACATGTCAGGATCTGAAATCACAGTTATCAAATCAACATAAGAACTACAAATTGGAGGTAATTTTTTTCCGTTGTCATGGAGTAGTATGCCGACCGAAAAAAAAAAAAAAGAAGTTTGTTGTGTTTGTCAATCTAGATTGCGAACAAACTGATTAATAATTAATCTACTATTACTAGGGTTACAATGGCTAGCTTTCATAAATTCTAATCAGCTTGTGTGTGAGGCTGTGAGCCAGCATATGTTGCCACCCACAGTTATTTTTTTGGAAAGACTTTATAATAATGGCAGAGTCTGAACCAAGTCAATGACTGGGACTGAAATAAATAATGGTGATTTTTTTCGGAGGAGGTGGGAAAAAGGGAATAATCAATTACTTCCCTCACGTTTATGACAGTGTTCAAGATGAATTGAATGATAACACCATTTTTCAAACTCAAAAAATAAAGCAAGGAAGAAAATATCGATACCATTCCAACCCCCGGGACCGGAGTAATTAGCCCATTTGTCGTTCTCATCTGCCCGAGAGGTCATGCTGCAAAGTAAATCAAATCACAATTTTTAAGACATTTTCAGTCCATGAACCAGGAAATATGTCAAATAAGTACTCCTTGTTGGGTCTAAAAGTAGTAGTCTATATTGTAATTTGCGAATTATATTAAAAACAGTACAATTACATGTTCCATGGAATGGGATGAATTGCTTTACCTGTTCCAATCGTCACTGATGTCTCCGGTAGTTCTCCAACTATTTCCCAATTGTTTAGCCCAAGTTGCGGGATCTTCCAGTCCCCTGAATCCAACATATCCCCCATCATTCATAAAACATATGTACCCGAGACAAATTAGTCCACATGTTTAGTTTTTGGCGATAGGATTATTAATACTATTACTTACTAGATGTGGCTGTTTGTTAAACCAAACCAAAAAAAAACTACAATTCCTGTGTATTGAAAGGTATGAACTTCCAGACAGCCGACTCACCATTCACATAGAGAGAAAAAGATGGACCTTCCAGAGTTTAACAATGCCTTGCTCATGATAGGATACCTATATATTTTAAGTTGTTTCGTCAGAACACATGATCATATCCTATCAGCAACGAAAAAGTAAAACAAGGTTTAATGATGAATTGCATTGACAAAAATTAACATGTATGTACTATACCTCTGTTTGGGGTCTATACCGTTATCGTTACAGTTGTCATACTTCAAGTAATCGATTCCCTACATGTACATCCAATATTAGAAACCGGAAGATGCAAATTAATTCGGCATCAAGCTCCTTAATCCATTGAATTATATAACCTTATGAATCATGATTATCACAGCATTACAAAATGTGAAAAATATAGTTTAATTGGGTACATACCCAGGAAGCAAAGGTTTTGGCATCCTGTTCTTCGTGTCCCAGAGATCCCGGCATAGTTTTGCTGCATGTCTGCGTTCTGCAGCATCATCACAGATTTCCGCGTAGCAATGAGATTAATTACGTCTCTGTCTACGAGTCATTGTTATCAGTTCTATATAGAATAAACAATAATAGTAACATCATATATACCCAGCATCGGAGTAAATTCCAAGCTTCAACCCCTTGCTGTGGACATAATCCGCCAGCGCTTTGATTCCAGATGGAAATGTTGAAGCTTTAGGAACCAAATTCCCCTGTAATTTGATAAGTAATTGCGACATAAGATTTGGAGCAGCATGTACAAAGTATATAAGTTGAGAAAGAGGAGCGAGCGGCTGAGCTAGGATGCAAAATTTACCTTGGCATCCCTGTTGTATTCTGCCCAACAATCGTCTGAAAAAAAAAAAAAAAATCAATAGTGTGAAAAAAAAATAAAAATACTCCTTCCGTCTCATAATTATTGTCCAGTTTTTACTTTTAGTTCAAATTGTACTAAAACTGAAATCTCAAACTGGACAATAATTTTGGGACGGAGGGAATAAATTAGAATATTCATGCTATATATCAGTGGCATTGACAAAACTTAAATCGCTTGATAAGTAATTATCCGTGATTAGTACATGTGATAAAGGAGGCCAAAAAAAGTGTTGAGAAATGCAAGTACCGAGATTGATGTACCGATATCCCAATCCAGCAAGTCCCTTTGACACCATAGCATCCGCTGTAGAGTGCCAATATCACGAGTTAGGCGCTCATTGTTTTATGGCTAGCTAATTAACCAGTATCAGTTTTACAAATCTTTTTTTAAAAAAGAAAAAATAAAATTGGTTCATATGGTGTTTTGAGATTTTCACAAAAAAAAAAATAGTTTAAATCTCAAAACTCGATGAGAACTGTTTTCTTAGAACGGGGAAATATTACGTTGTCATGAGATATTTTTACCTCTGTATATCTCAGAATTAATCTACTTCCAAAAGATATATTGACCTTATATTTGCAAAAAAATGCCTAATTGCCACCATCTTTTATTTATATCCTAATTTTTCTAGTAATCACGCATTTTGTTAAAATTTAAAGTAATTTCGGTTTTTGGGCCCAAGAAAACTAAAAGAGTCAGGGACTCTGGATTCATTTATCCTACAAACCAAACTTCACTTTGGATTAATCGGAACAAGGTTTTGAACGCCAGATTTAATAAACGAAAGAAAAATGCTTTTGTTTCCAAAGATTTCTTTAAAAAGAAAAAACGATCTATTTGTCATTTTCCCAACATAGACAGTTTCGTCATTTTGGTGCAAAAACCCGCTTTTACGTGAGTGAATATGATGATGTTTAAATAGAAGGGAAAAAAAAAATTAAAAAAGAAAAAATTGAAATGTTGAGACGTATTAAGACAACCACAACCAAAAAAAGAAAAGAAAAAAAAAAGTGGAATGTTGAGCACTGTTTGTTTTCATAATTAGGAGCAAACTTATTTTGCACAAACATAAAGGGCAACGACATGTTTAATTCTATATCTTAAATCAGAATAATTTGACTTTTTATTGTGTGAAATTCGGAAAAACAAAACTATTAAATTTCATTACAAAGACAATATTAGTATAAAAAAAATAAATTTGTTTTAAAATGAATATCTATAATGAATCTGTGATTCTATGATATATAGTAACACAAACTACAAAACTTAGAGAAAATAATGAGCCATAAAGAATGTGACAAGAAAGTGCGACACAAGTCTTAGCTTAGTCCCTACAAATTTCGAAAAAAAGGTTTCATTGACGGTAGTCCTCCAATATTTTAAGACAAAATAGTAGACACACTATGCTAAGTGAGGGATGGATCACCTGTTTGCTTGATCAATTTCTCATCAATGTTGCAACTAAAGTGATTCCAGCTGTTCCACCTGATGATCGCCATGCCATGCATCAGAAACTCATTTTGTTAGTGTATTCTTCTTCTTCTTTTTTTTTTTTACCCTCTAAATAAGAAAGAACTTACAAAATATAAATTAATACTCTTTCCACTTTGAAATAAAGGGGAAAATAAAATATAATTTAAAATATATCTTTCGTTTTTTTTAAAAAAAAAAAACATCTTACCCCTTTTTTATATTATTTTTGTAGGAAAAATGATATTTGTTTTTAAAGTAAAAATTAATAAAAAAAATTAAACATTATTGGGATTGGGGTTATACTGAAATAAACCAAAAGCAATTAAGTAATATTTTAATAACAAATTTATCTATTGTCTTTCTAAATTTGGAGAAATATATCCAACTATTTCTATTCGGAAAGAAAGAATGGAAGGAGATGAGCAAACACAGTAAGAGACAATGGGAGGTGTGAAGATGATTACTTTCAAGATTAAAAGGAAACTTGAAAGCTACAGAGTCCTCAAGGTGAAAGAGAAGAAAGAATCAAAACCGCCACATATATTTTATCCATTTCTGTACTAATCATTAGTTTATTGCATTTTTTATGAATTCCCCTATCATACTAATTATTGTGTGTGTGTGTGTGTGAGAGAGAGAGAGAGAGAATCAACCTACCGACTGAGATCATGCCCGCAAACCATAATGATCAATACGATATGGTATGGTGTAACATTAAATTAATAGTATAAATGATGAATTGAGTGATGGCAAGAATTATTATTAAGAGAGTAGTAAAAGGTAGAAGTTTACCCCATGGGAGGAGTTCGACCAAGCCCGTTGTCTAACAGTTGCCTCCGAACATCTTGATGGTCTCCTCCGGCAGCTGAATTCATCATAACCGTCATTCGGCTACCACGAACGTTGACGCTGCAGCAGCACATGAATAGAAGCAACAGAGACAGTTCCCGGCGGGGGATACCGGCGGCAGCCATCATTTGTTTTGTGTGTGTGTGGTTTTGATTCAGGAGCAGCTCAGAGCATATACGTGTAGTTGCTGCTCCAAAGCATACATATATGTAATACTAGTACGGATTATGAATTTCTACAAACAGAAATAATTACTTTGGATCAGCAGTAAGTAGATGAGTTTATATAATTGCTGGATTGAAATTTTACAGGACATATATGAGCTAGCTGGGACCTATGACGACGTGTACCACGCGGCTAATCTGTTCTTTTGCAGTCTATCCATTAAACTTACATTTGAATCGTTTTTCCAATACGTTTTTTTTTTTCTTTCTTTTTTCGGTTCAGAATTTTTTATAAAAAAAAATGTATTAAGAATATATTTTACAAAATGTTGAAATAGATTACCTATTATTTAAAAAAATATGCGAAAAGTTAGTACGAAGGACCGTGGGTGGGGGGAAGAAACGAATAGAGCCTCAAATATCAATCTATGTAGAAGGATCGTTTTGTGTCACATCTTGTGTAATACTCGTTTGATAGACGTAATAAGTTAATAAATCCATACCTGCACTTATAATAAGTTCACATTAGTTCTAATAAATTTAAGTGAATGATCATGCATGAAATATTGCATTTAGAGTCTCGCGTAATTTGATTTTTAGAGTATTTATAATTAAATTTAATTGTGAATTAGGAAGTCTAACATGCATCGTAATTTGATTCTAGGGGACATATAATATATCTGCTTAATAAAAAAAAATCAATCGTCCATTTCTAACACTTTCGTAGAAAATAATGTGTTTATATGAACTGGTAAGTGAATACCTAAATTTTGATTTTCTTATTTGGAGTTTCTGAATATGTAACTGTATGTGAATTTGTTTTCTGGGAAATGGAAACTTAATTTGCTCAGTGAGTATTAGAAGGCCTTCAACAGTCAACTATACTCAACTGAGCCAAAACGCATTAACTTACAATTGTTTAGTTAAAAAAGAATAATGTAACTAACCTAAACAAATGTTTCATTTAGTACAAAATTTATTTTTTTTTGGTCTATAAATGTTTTTTTAATTAAAAAAAAAAAGGATCAATGCAACAATCATATTTGGGACTTGCGTGGCCCACCTACATAAAGTAGTCATGGATGATTAAAGTGACCGGCAACAGGTTCCGTTACGGTCAGACGAAAATGCATTCTCAGGCCAGTGGCCACTCCTTTGTTTTCTTCTTCTACCAATTATTACCCGGCAATTTATAACTTGAACAAGGTTCACGATAGATAGATGGTAGAACTGGCTTTTAAAATAGCAACACAATCTTAAAGAAAATTTCAATTAATTTTTATAATTTTAGCCACTGACATCAAATTAATAATGTTCTCCTTAATCTTCTCCAGTGTCTTATTACCAATTTTATCGTATCCAAAAATCAAAACAAAAAATCAATCCACCTACAACTTAACCATTCAGTTACCAATTTTCCAACTATAATTTTTTTATAAAAAAAAAAATCTGAAAACTACGTGCATGTTAATCTTTCTTTCATAATAAAACCTTGTGAATTACAGTTTTGATTTGAAATAAATTCCTTTTGATTTTTTTAATGATGATGACTCAATTATTCTCATGAACGATAAACATGTAGAAGTCCATCATATGTTACTGGATGACTCTATTTTTCTTATCTTATTTAGTGAGGAGGGGTTGTGAATGAAACCAAAAGCAAGAATCTATCTACTTTCAAATTTCAGTCTATGTTGCTCGATATGTAAATGTAATTAACACACACTAAAATCAAATTAAGTTATGAATAGATCCCATTATATTTTGTTGTTTCCTCATTAGAAGAAGGTAATACTAAAGTAACTGCAGTTTGTTTATCTTAATTTGTGTAGTACTCACTTTGTTTACAAATAAATATCGCTGGAGAGATTTCACAAAGTTTAAAGAGACAATGATTATCTTGTTAAAATACTATAATACTCTCATTTACTCTTAATACAATTGTTGTCATAATAACATTTAATCTAATACAATTCTACGTTAAACATCACTACAATTTTCAATATAAGGATAGTATTAGAAAAAATTGACAAAACATGTGTTGAATTGTGAGAACGACATCTATTTTGAAATATTTGGTTTTTCCTCTAACGACGTATATTTGTGGATGGAGAGAGTATGTGTTAAACATGTGATGATCAGCCATGAGTCCGTACACTTTTATTTAGTAAACAATACTTTTATATCTCCTCTTGTCTTAAAATAATTATTCCGTCTTATTATAATAAACAAGACAAATATTTTGTAAGATATAATTAATTAATAAATCTCTCTCAACACCTAAATTCAATACTCTACCCATTTCAAATACAAGTCACTTTAACAATTTCACACATATTAGAAAATCAATCAATTAGCAATTATTCACTGCATTTTGAAATGATTATTCAATTTTTTTTTTTGAATACAAATTGAACCAAAAATGAAAATCTAATTAGGATGAACATTTTGACACAAAAAAAGTAATTTTTCCGTTAAATATCATTTGCTTCTCTCATTAAATATACTAGTAGATACCTCGCGCGTTATGGGTGGGTTGTAAAATGGGAAGGAAAAAGATACATTTATAATAATTTAATATTTAATATCATGCATGATTTTCTTTTTAAATATTAAATAAAATAAACACCAAAACTAAATGCTTGATTATCGGTAACAGAATCTTAATTTTTGCATTCAAAGTTCCGAAATTGACAGTGTCGCAAGCAAATATTTACCTTTTTCAATGGATTTTCCTTACTTAGAAAAGGAAAAAAAAAAAAAACTTGCTTTTCGTTGTTTTCTTTCCGCCCTTTACTTACACCTAAACACAAAAAACTATTGATAAAATACTAAAGAAAGAAGAAATCCTACAAAAATGAAAAGCATATTTGATGATTCTAAGGCCGACAAGTACTAGTAGCATCTGTTTAATTCAAACAAAACTATAAGAATAATACTTTCGCATATCGATACACTAAGTTAGAGCTAGACCTATAGAAAAAATGGTGGGAAAAAAATGAAAAAGAACATTATTTACATGGTAAGTTTTGCAGCGGTAATTATGAACATGCAATTAGATAATTTATATGTAGAATTATTTAGAATTTCGATTTTCAGATTTTCGTTTAAGGTTCATCAATATTGATCAGTTAATAAATTTAACTTTTGTAACTTGGAAATAGGTTAAATTGAAAAATTATATCAAAATATTTACAATATTAATTAAATATTTGTTGACAATTTTTCTAGTCGACTAACAATTTCATACCACATATGTAGAAATTATCATGTTTTAATATATGATTAGATAGTGTTTGTTGAAGTAGAGGTGACATCATTTGTTGAAGGTACGTTAATTTGCTTCTCTCGTAATTTTAAAATATTTTTGAAATAGTAAGAACTCATTTTAAACTGTGTTGCGCAAGTGAAACATCAACATGTTGTAAAAGAACCGATCCAAAAGGACAGCTAGTGGGGGGCATTGGGGATGATGGGGGGAATGGTGGGAATGACGTGAATTTCACCGTACGCCTCCTTGTTTATGCCATTGACAGACTTTATTTCGTACGCCCCCCAAATATTTAGTGCCATTTTGTCCAGATCCTGATGTAATTGTGCTTAATGGAGATAATAATAATAAATAGGTCATGGATCATAGAGCTAGCCTAGAAGGAACGGACATGAACAGGGGGGAGGTAAGATGACTAACTGGCTGACTCTAAATATTATCCCGGTCCTTAATATAAGACATTTTAATTTGTTAGAGGTTTCATTTAGTACATATTAATTGACAAAAAAAAATTTAAAAATATTTCATAACAATTAAGAGAACACAACGAATGCGAAAATATATTTTTAAGATTTTTTCGTCAATTAAAAATATATATTAAATAAAATTTAGAACAATCAAAATACCTTATATTAAAATCCGAAGTGATTTTTTTTTTTCCCAATCCGATGATTCGGTCATATACCGTCATATAGTAGTGCTAAAATTACACAGGACCAGCTGTGCAAAGTTCCATTGGGACTTGTAATTTGTGTACATTTTGCTCTTCTTTTTCCCCCACCCCCCTTAATTTTATGGCTACTTGCATTTGTCTTGTCCTCCAACAACCTTTTAACGTTTCCCACATTGTCTTCAATTTGCTTTACTCTTCTTTCTTTTCCTTTATAGTATTAATTTGTTTAAACAAACTGTGATGTCAAGTTTCGGTCAAGCTAAAACAAACTCTATCTCACCCTCTTTCCTAACATCCATCTAAGATGTCGTATTACTACCTCTATCTACTCTATCTACATGGCTTCTTATTACTAAAACAGTCATCTCTTAAAATAATTTTTCTTCAAAAAATTACACATATCAATAATTATTTGATTGCTAATGTCGCCTTTTCAAATAGAATTTAATAAATAAAGTTTTCCAAAAATGTTCAAATTCCTTATGCATTGTTCATGCGTCCAATTTATAATCTAACTCGTTTTGTTTTTTTTCCAGTGTTGATTTGTACACCGTCTCATCAAAATTACACCTTTTTCGCATTATTTTTCAAGTCAAATAGAAATGAGATTTTTAGTCTCAAATTTTGTAGCTGCAGCACTAGGTTCGTGAGAAATATTCACGATTAGCTCAATTTTTTATTTTTTATTTTTTGTTGAAAGGTTAATTGTATTAATCTATCACAACACATTCAAGTTTGGATACAAGGCTCTCTTTTCTATTACATCTTCCTGCAATATTTTAACTCATGATTCCTATGCTTTCAATATACTCTTTCTAATATGCTCTATCCTTCTTACAGTAAAATTTAACTCCACACCCTACTTCCTGTTGAACTAATATCATCATATCATCTACACTTCTGATTCTAGCTCCATGCATTTCAGCATTTCTCTACTGTCACAGATGATAAACCACAGCTGCACCTGCACTATAGTCAATCTGCTGCTTGACCTTACTCTGGTGCTAAATCTTCCCCATTCTTGACTTCCATTGAGACAAACTGTCTTATATTCTATTACAAATCAACCAGTCCTTAATCTTCTGTAAAAACTGTTGGGAATACCTGCACTGAAAATACAGATGCTCCAAGCTTTCATCCTCATTTCCACACAGCAGACACTTCACAAGCTACTGTATGATGTGCAGCTTCTGTAATCTCTCTAATGTTAATAACCTTCTTTTTAAAGCCAGCCACAGGATGAAGCTGTGCTTAGGTAGGTTATAGTTGCTCCAAATGATAGATGCAGCAGGGAATTTCTGTTCTTCTCCTCTAAACCATCCATAACTAGACTTGGTGCTATCAGTTCCAGTTTTAGCAGCTAATCATTTACCATCCTTAAATCCTGGTTTAATCATATCTCTAATCTTCATCGGTTTTGCTCAAATTTTGTAATCTTTTATATTAAGATTTTATAAAATCAACATGAAAATTGATTTCATATAAATTAGACGATAGTCACATGTAATCAATGATTCTCGCAATATTAATCAGTAACATTATTCGCTGAAATTAGTCAATATTCATAATATTCATCATTGTTTATTTTTTATAGAGTGGATCAAATTAATGGTCTATAATAAAAATTTGTTGTCTTTCATATCGTATAATTTTCATAAAATCAACACAAAAGTTAATTTCACTAAAAATTAGTTAATAGCGATTTTTTGAATATTTATTTAATACAACTGGATACTGTTTAAAAGAATGTTAGTTATATTCATATATGCATTCATTTACATTACATATTACAAATTCAATAATTTTTCCTTCTATAGAGAAAACGTATTTTTTTTATTTGTATTATATTGTGTATAATTACATTTTCACTCACCATGTTCTTAAATTTGATCACTAAACTTTCACATATACCTTTCACTAACCTAAGATCAAATTGAGATACGTAACCAAAAAAAAAAAAAAGATAAACATTGTTGCATTGTCCCATTATCAGTAAGCAGCTACATTTATGTCAAAGTGAATAATAAGTCTAACTGATAGGCTAAAATTCTTTTTAGCAGTGCTCTGTACGGTTCATAAAATTATTTGCCGCCACACACACACACACACACATATATATATATATGTATATGACCATTTTATCCCTCTCACATTGTCGACATTTTTCTTAGAAAATACTAGATTGCCGTTGAAAGAGGCCGCACGGAAGGCGAGCTTCCGACCAACCAGCCCCTCGAATGACCAACCACCCCTAAACAACTCGTAACTACTAATTTGTTCGAGACATGAGACTTAAGGTGGAAGGTTTGAAGAGAATTATGGTTTAGGGTTTAGGGTAAAACTTAAAGGGACAAAATGATCATATTTGGACGGTAGTGAATAATTTGTTGGACGATAAAAAGTGATTCACATTTTTATTCTATCTTGGTCTAATTTTGCTTGTAATTTCTTCAACTTTTTCTGCATTGTCTCAATTTTTATAGGGTTTAGACTTTAGACTTTACTCTTCAGAGTAACTTAAATCAACGTGGTGGGATGTTAAAAAAATGAGTTATTTTCAACAAATGAGTCACACCACACCACACCTAGTAAGCTCCTCCACCAACATCTTTGCTAACCTTTCTTTTGGTTAGCGGACACTTGTATTATTCATTCGCTTCTATGCACATCTATACCGGTCATCCTTACAAAACCCGGGGAAGCGGCAACAGTGTTGAGATGAAAGGCCCCCTTTAATGTTTTATCCGGGCCAGAGCCTAGTGGTATAACAGGCCTTGCTAGGCCTCGTCAACCCATTTACTCTAGGGAATCTTTTTCTTTTGGTGCCGAAACCGATAAACTTCTTTCCAGTTTGCATCGTCTCACTCAGCTTCGTCTTGAAACGATTGACATCCATCCTCACCACGAATTTCCCCGATCCTTACGAGCTACGATTATCACACCCCATTTAGTATTGATTGTTGATATCAATTGGTTAGCCCTTTTTCTTGGAAACTGTGTTCCAACTGAATTTATTGGAGTCATTTCATTGATTTTGGACTTGGGGTTTTTCTCTTCGGAAGTAGAAGAAGAAGATGGTGGTGCGACTGGTCGTCCCACCAGATAATTGTTGGTGGCGGGGGTGGTCCAATTCCAAGCGCTTTTACTGTCACACAAGTCCGGTCAGGCCTCGGATTTTGGTTTCTTCAACTAGTACCAACAATGATTCTGCTGCTGGGGGCTTGCGTGTTTTTGTTGTGTCTGACCTGCACACCGACTACTCCGACAACCTGAGCTGGGTGAGGGATTTGTCAAAGAAGCGTAAGAAGCCTAACAATGATGTCCTCCTCGTTGCCGGCGACGTGGCTGAGACTTGCCAAACTTTCGAGTTAACCATGTACCTTTTGAAGCACTGTTTCCACCGTGTTCTTTTTGTTCCTGGAAACCACGATCTTTGGTGCCGCCGGGAGAATTCTAATGCTGTACGTCACATTCCATTCTGCTCATTTTCCCTTCCAAACTTACTCTGTTTTGCGTGTCGGCGAGGCATAGTTTCTATTTACCTTGACTGCTTAGATTTCAAATGCCATGATTGTGTGTTGTAAGTTTCCAAGTTAGTCATTGTATGTAAACTAAAATGCCGCTATTTTTTTTGGGGGGTTGGAGATTTTTCGCTTAATCAGAGCTAGCTTAGGTTCAAACAGCCAGACTTGTCTTAGGAAATTAGAGCGCTAACAAAGAACTGCAGGCATTTCTTAGGTAAGTTCGATATCAATATTTTGGCTCTCCTTATTTCCCTCATTATGTTCCATGCTCTTTCTCCATTCAGAGTATATGAGACGATTTAGACTAGTTTGCTTTTTCAGACACGATAAAACTATTTGGCATTGTTTCCAGTGTTTATTAACAAAGAACCCCAAAAAAAAAAAAAAAAAAGAGGGAATAAAGTCGTCGTTCTTTCAGTAGATGTCATGAACTTTATTGGTTTTTCAATGTCGATTTATGAGAAGTTACTGCTGTTGACTCTGCTTCTTATCTGTGCAGTGCGATTCTCTTGAAAAGCTGGACAAACTGTTTGACACTTGCCAAAGGATTGGAGTCGAAACCAAACCGGTGGTGGTTGATGATTTAGGAATTATTCCTTTGTTCTCATGGTACCATGAGGTGAATATATGCAACTTTCATATTCCAGTTATATCTGTATATAAAAGTTTCAATCATCGCACATATTTCGCTTCAAATGGTTTTGCTGCAGAGCTTTGACAAAGAAATGGACATAAGTGGCTTTCGCCTTCCGCCTCTGGAGATGGTGATTCACTCTCTCTGTACTACTCGTAAGCAATTTTTTGAATATTGTGATTGACATTTTGAGTTCGGGAATTTGTTGGTTGGCTAGGTCAAGAAAATTCTCTTGCAAAATCATGACCAAGTATCTTTCATGAACCTCTCAGTCACACCTTGCTTAAAGCTTAAATTTGTTTATTACAGAATCATGGTAGACTAACACATAGCATTTAGGCATATGCTTGGCATCTATCATTGATTTGCCTTTCCATCTTTCATGCTTATGCTCTATACCTTCCGTTGTTGACAAGTTGGTGCTATGGTGGAGTTTGTGTATGTGTATATGTGTATGCCTCATAGCTATGCATGCAAGTTTTCCTTCAATTTTGTATCACATGTAGACTGTTATATCCATTTCCACTTATGAGCTATCTGACGATATTTAGGCATGTAAAGACTTCCATGCATGCAAATGGCCTGAAGGGATTAACGAGGCAGAGAACTCTCTTGCGTTGTTCTTTGATGTTATGAATGGCAAGAATCACGATTTAGTTGAAGAAATTAAACGGAAATGCAGAGTAGTAATTTCTTTCTCTCATTTTCTTCCGAGGTCAGTGAATTTCTTGGTTGAATCCTTCTCTCCATATTGCTCTGAGGTGATGTTCTGAATTTAGTTTGGGTTTGAGCATGGGTAAATCTAGATGGAAGCCATCTTCCGACATTGACAATTGTCTACAATGATTGCAAAACTTCACATTCTTATCCCATTAGTAAGTAGTATGTTAGAAGCCTAGTTAGAATAGCCAAGCTTTTCTGGAGTTGGCATTTGGGGGAGAGCAAAAGAAGTACATTTTTTAATTTCTATGCAACACTCACAAGAAGCATGTAGGATCCCTTTCTGTTTTGTTTTCCTGGGTCATTTGCACACTGATATGTGCTGCCCTCTTGCTGTTAGTTCCTTATATTAATGCCGAGTACATTACAGGCAAGAGCTGTGCCCAGAAAAGAGAATGCTTTTCTACCCTAAGCTTCCCAAAATAATTGGCTCCGACTTTCTTGAATCTCGATTGAGATCCATACATAGAGATAAAGGAAGTGCATATGCTTGTCATGTCTTTGGTCATACTCATTTCTGCTGGGATGCTGTGCTAGATGGTATCAGGTTGGTTACTTAAATGTCACTAAACTATATCACCATTACTCGAACTCTTTTTTCGGTTTCTAAGATCAATGGTGGTGTGTGCCATGCGCAGGTACGTGCAGGCCCCATTGGCTTACCCAAGAGAGAGGAAAAGGAGGATGAATGGAGGGGAAGACTGGCTGCCTTTTTGCATCTACCATAACGGCAAGCTTGCGCCGCGCCTCTCTCCTTGTTACTGGTCTGATTATTATGATCATAACCCCCGAGCGCCCGAATTTACAGAGCTTGCTCCCTGGGTTGCTAGATTTTATTCAAGATCACCATCTTGATTCGATTGGGGGCGTCATATTTCTGTGTCCTTTGTTTTGTTGTTTCTTTTTTCCTTTCCCCAAAACAAATGAGAGCCCAAATTGTGTATAACAAACTGATAAGGATAGTACCTTATTAAATCAGTATATGGAATGGTGGCAGCTTCTTTCATTAGCAGCTATACCGCAGATGATATTCCTAAGAAAATTATTGGAAGTTGAAGCATACATAAAAAAGACCAAATATCCAATTGCTCTTTATTACAGTATCTCCAAAACACACAGACAATCCACTACAACACATCAAGAGCTTAACAAACTTGGATGGTATCAACTAAAGCGGCCTGATTACAAAGAAGAAATTTGATGCATTCTTAGCTTTAGCGACAGTAACATGCTACACTAGTAATCCTCTGGAGCCAAGGGTTGGTGATGGGTGTGGTGTGGGGGCTGATCCGCAGCGTGTATAATACCATACTCGTAGATGAGGCCAGAGAGAGCGGCACCGATAAAAGGGCCCAGCCAGTAGATCCAGTGATTCCTCCATCTCCAACCCACCAAAGCAGGACCAAAGGCCCTGGCGGGGTTCATGGATGCTCCTTCGAAAGGTCCCCCAACCAAGATGTTAGCTCCCACCATGAAGGCAATTGCAAGGGGGGCGATGGTGCCGAGGCTGCCCCGTTTGGGATCAATGGCCGTGGCGTACACAACGTACACCAGTCCAAATGTCAGAACGACTTCCATCAACAGTGCATTCAGGTTCCCCACTCCAGCTGCAACCGAGAATCCAATTGGCCTCTGCATGCATGTAGTAGATCATCAATCAATCACTCAATCAATTCCCAAGTTTATTAGTATATACCAAAAGCAAATGATGAAATACATAATCAACACCAAGATAATCAATCAATCAATCCAATCCGGGTTAGCGCATAACATTACCATTCCATCGGTAGTGATCCTGAGTAAGAGAGATGCCACAACCGCTCCCAAAAGCTGAGCCACCCAATAGTAAATAGCCCGAAGAAGGGAGACTCTCCCACCCACAAGAGCTCCAAAGGTGACAGCAGGGTTGATATGTCCACCCGACACGTTCATACTGGACGCCACCGCTGCAAAGAAGGCAAGCGCATGCGCCAGTGCAACCACCGCTAGCCCCGAGGCTCCGAGTCCGCCTGTCTCTCTGTAGTACATCCTATCTGGGCTCCGCACCATGTCTGTCATCATCATCATCATCATCATCATCAATTCTCAATCCATCAACTCCATCATACTCTTAAAATTCCAGATTTTAAATTTTAACAAGAATCCATGCATGCTTGCTTATTAGAAGGGGAAAACAAAATAAACATCATAGCATAAAAATTACAATAATTACCAAGAGCAAGGATGGAGCCTTCCCCGGCGAAAACGAAGATGAAAGTGGAGAAAAACTCAGACAAAGTTGCCCTCATAGAGTCGGGGTGGGTGGCCTCCTCGGCCCCAGCAAAAGCGTACCTCCGGCCAGCCGGTCTGGTGCTCATCATGGTTCTCAACAACAATTGATGGGATCAATTTGGTATTCTCTGTGTACAAGCCAAGGGGTCTCTGTTCCTTCTCTTGGGCAATGTGGGGCAGATTAAATTAGATATATAAAACTCAATCCGCAAGATATATATACTCTCGATTAATTTCAATTTTTATCACCAGACAAATGAGAGCATGCAGAATTTCTTGGATCCTATGTATGTAAACATATATCTACCTCGTACCAAATGTGACCAAGTATGTTGAAGAAGTATGTAGTAGTACATTAGTGCTGAGGAAGCAAATGGGAGGAGAAAGGGGGCCGTTTAAATGTTTGGCTTAGGGAGGGGGAAGTGGTGGACACTTGGGAGATGAATTGCTGGTAAAGTGACACGTTGGTTCTGAGTTGTCTTCCCCCCAACACAAACACCGTTTCAATCCTTTGCTGTGGGCTGCTATCGTCTATCCTCTCTTACTCAAATTCCTCTAAATTTCAATTTGCTACACCCTTCTCTCGTCGTCATCTGCAATTTCAGTTTTCCTCTCATTTATCTCATGCGTGCATATGCTTGCCTCATCATCACCGCATCCATATTTCATTATCTTATGTTGTTAAACTCGGCTCGGCTCAATCGGTTCCAGAACCCAATATCACACCCGCCCCAGCTAGTATAGAAATTTGTTTAACCTCTGTTTAGTAGACGGAATTGGGAGCATTAAATTGGGATTTAAAGGATCTAATATTAATTCTTCTGTTTGTTTGGCCAAATGTGGGAAGTTATGAATATAGAATCTCAACTAGATGCTTGGATCTGCCCGTAAAAATTATTTTTATTAACACATTTATTTATACTTTTATAATTTAAACATGTAGAGTCTAAATAAAAATACACATGGAGACAGATCCTTAATAAAGTAGGTAAGGCATATCTGTAATATTTGAATTTGAAACAATTAATAAAACATTGTAAACAGAAATCCAGTTTATTTGTTACACTAAAGTCCAAGTTCTCATTACATCATGTTATCCTTAATAATTTTAGCCTAAATCTATATATAATGTGTCTTTGAGTTCTCAAATTTTAAATCAATTATTAGTATTGCTATACAGACCATACCACTTGCTCTCAGTCAGTTGTTGATGGAGGACCATGTATTAAACCATGACGATGCTTCTTATTGGTCTGTTGATTGGGGAGAGTACACATGTACAATTGATATAGATTATGGAGAAGAAGAAGATGGTGATCGCATTATTCGTGGAGGTACTGAATGGAAAAAGATGTTTTCTGATCATGACAAAATTTTGGTCGAAGCACAATGGACAATTTTAAAGTATGATGGAAACTTGCGTTTTGAAATACAGTTTTTTAAAGAAAATGGAATTGAGATTGAAGGCCCTATCACTGTTTTGCATGAAGACCGTTTCATGACTGTTATTGACGATAATCATATTGTACAAAAAATAATTGCAAGTCCATTGTTTCCTTAGTTACATTTTATTGATATCACTAAACAAAATATTCATTTTTTAAAAAAATTATCGTGCATTTTGTTTATTTTACAGACGATTCCAACAATTTTCTGGAACAGACACAAGAAAATTGTTACTAAAAAAATCGCCAATATACATACGAGAACATGAGTCTATTCGATGGATATAAAGAAATGTTATAACCCCCTTTATATTGGGAAACGAGTGAAGCAAATTAAACTTTATGGGAACTAGATGAATCTACTCAATCTACTCAATGATAATGGATTTCCAAGTGGAAGCCACTTTGAATTTCATCTCAACAGGGATACGGTCCAACCTAGGAAGACAAATATTGATTTCACTTTGAAGATACTCAATTGAGATGTATTAAGATTACGTTTTATTAAATAATGAATTTTTTAAAATGGTATATTTTCCAGACTTATTTAAACTTCTTTTTTACTAATTTCAGGTCCTTGAGTTATACGATCATTTTCTTTCTTACATATTTCATGAACGACTAAAATATCCAAATAGTCCCTTACATTTAGTCCTACTTGAATTTACGTCCCTAACATTAACATTTCATTATCGTAGTCCCAAACATTATGTTTTCAAATTTTTTTGGTCCCATTTCATTGTTTCGGCCACTTTCCGTCCAGCTTAATGTTGAGCAGCCGTTTACGCGACGGAATCAGGGGTATTTTTATCTTTTTAATTCAATTTAAACTTCCATTAAAATTTAAATCATTAAAAATAGTATAAAATTCATATTTTATTATTTAATTATTAAAATATTATTTTATTTATTAATACTAAATAAATATTGTTCAGTATTATTTTCCAATCCAATTTATTCTGCCTTTTCTCTGGGATTAGTTCTTGTTTGTATATCCTTATTCTATCTTCTCTTAAACTCCTACTTTGTAGCTGCTGCGCAGTTACTTATTTATGTAGGAGCTATAAATGTTTTAATCATTTTTGCTGTGATGTTCATGAACGGTTTAGACTATTCCAAAGAGGAAAATCTTTGAAATATTGGTGATGCAATTACTTCAATAGTTTGTACAACTCTTTTTATTTCACTAATTAGTACTATTCTAGATATGTCATGGGACGCTATTATTTGGACTACAAGATCAAACCAGATTCTGGAACAAGATTTGATAACTAATAATCAACAAATTGGGGTTCATTTATCAACCGATTTTTTTCTTCCATTTGAATTTGTTTCAATAATTCTTTTAGTTGCTTTAATAGGTGCAATTGTTGTAGCCCGACAATAGTCAAAATAGTAAATAAGCAATTCACGTATCGACGACTTGGTATATGTGATTCAATCGAATCGATTGAGTTGGTGTTTAGATTGAACTGAATAAGATTGATAAGGAGTTGGTTAATGATGCTCGAGCATATACTTGTGTTGAGTGCGTATTTATTTTCTATTGGGATCTATGGATTGATCACAAGTCGAAATATGGTTAGAGCTCTTATGTGTCTTGAACTTATATTAAATGCAGTTAATATGTATTTTGTAACATTTTCTAATTTTTTTGACAATCGTCAATTAAAGGGGAACATTTTCGCAATTTTTGTTATAGCTATTGCAGCCGCTGAAGCAGCTATTGGATTGGCTATTGTTTCATTAATTTATCGTAACCGAAAATCAACTCATATTAACGAATCGAATTTGTTGAATAATTAGTATTAGTGATACAAATTTCAAACGAATTCCAATAGTCATAAAGGAATTTCTTTGTTTGCTACATTAAGGTATAATAGTGTTTACAAAAATCTAAGAAATCAAAGTATCTTGAATCCTTGTCATAAATCAATCCAGAAGTAAATTCATTAGAAAACTTCTGCTAACCTGTTGATTCATCTGGTATTGAAATCTTAAATTAAATATATATATTAAATTCTATATTAAATATAGGCTTTATTTATAAGCTTACTAGGTTGAAAATTGCTGACATTCAAAATGCATAGATTCAATGTCACATTCAGTAAAGATTTATGATACGTGTATAGGCTGTACTCAATGTGTCCGAGCCTGCCCGACCGATGTATTAGAAATGATACTCTGGGACGGGTGTAAAGCGAAACAAATTGCTTCTGCTCCAAGAACAGAAGACTGCGTTGGTTGTAAAAGATGTGAATCTGCCTGCCCAACCGAGTTTTTAAGTGTTCGAGTTTACTTATCTCATGAAACAACTCGCAGTATGGTTCTAGCTTATTGATACATTCGAGAAAATTTTATTTGAATCCAGTTGAATCCATTTGATTTTTTTACCGACAAACCCGTGCTCAAACAAGTTTGCGCACGGGTTTGTCTGGTCCAAGTGTATCTTGTATTTACCACGAATTATTTTACTTGGTTAACAACAATTGTAATTTTTCCAATATTCGCTGGGTCCTTAATTTTTTGTCTTCCTCATAGAGGAAATAAGATCATCCGGCAGTATACTATATTTATATGCACACTTGAACTACTTTTAACGACTTATACATTCTGTTATCATTGCCAAATGGATATGCCACTAATCCAATTAGCAGAGGGTTATAAATGGATCCATTTTTTTGATTTTGATTGGAGATTGGGAATAGATGGACTTTCTATAGGACTTATTTTACTAACGGGATTTATCACTACCTTAGCGACTTTAGCAGCTTGGCCGGTTACTCGGGATTCTCGATTATTTCATTTCCTGATGTTAGCAATGTACAGTGGTCAAATAGGATTATTTTCTTGTCGGGACCTTTTACTCTTTTTCATCATGTGGGAGTTAGAATTAATTCCGGTTTATATACTTCTATCTATATGGGGAGGAAAAAAACGTCTATACTCAGCTACAAAATTTATTTTGTACACAGCGGGGGGTTCCATTTTTCTCTTACTGGGAGTTTTGGGTATTGCTTTATATGGTTCCGCTGAACCAACATTAAATTTTGAAACATCAGCTAATCAGTCTTATCCTGTAGCCTTGGAAATACTATTTTATATTGGATTTTTTATTGCTTTTGCTGTCAAATCACCGATTATACCCCTACACACATGGTTACCGGATACCCACTGAAAAGCGCATTACAGTACTTGTATGCTTTTGGCTGGAATCTTATTAAAAATGGGAGCATATGGGTTGGTGCGTATCAATATGGAATTATTATCGCACGCCCATTCTATCTTTTCGCCATATTTAGTGTAGGTACATTGCAAATAATCTATGCAGTTTCAACATCTCTTGGTCAACGAAATTTAAAAAAAAGAATAGCCTATTCTTCAGTATCTCATATGGGTTTCATAATTATAGGGCTCGGATCTATAACCGATACAGGACTCAACGGAGCTCTTTTACAAATAATATCACATGGATTTATTGGTGCTGCACTTTTTTTCTTGGCGGGTACCACTTATGATAGACTGCGTCTTGTTTATCTTAACCAAATGGGCGGAACAACTATCCGAATGCCAAAAATATTCACTATGTTCAGTACCTTTTCCATGGCTTCCCTCGCATTACTGGGTATGAGTGTTTTTGTTGCGGAATTGCTAGTATTTTTTGGAATAATAACCAGCCAAAAATTTCTTTTAATCCCCAAAATACTCATTACTTTTGTAATGGCAATTGGAATGATATTAACTCCTATTTAT